AAATGAATAAAATATATTTTAAAAAAATTTACCCTCTTATAAGTGGGCACTTAAGTAGTTTTTAGTATATTTACCAGGCCGTGGAACTAGCCTATCTAATAAAGATGGAATATGCAAATTGATAGTCATTTCAGGGCAAAAATGGCGGCACCCACAGCAAATAAGGAGGGAATATGCAAATTAATGCAACAAAGATGGCGGTGGCCAGAGAAAAGGCCTGGGTTCTGGGTGCCAGAGGGAAACCGGTGCCAGCAGCCAGGGGAAGGCCTATTCTTGCACAAATCTTTGTGCATAGGGCCTCTAGTTAATATAAAAAATATTTTAATTCCCAAAAGATTCTGTACCCATTAACCAGTTAACTGCCACGATATTTTGAATTTAATTTAAAAAGTTCCGCCGGTTGCATCTATAGATGCTTATGGCATACAAATGGCTAATAATCACTTCATTTCTTCCCCTGGCAACCATTAACCCACTTTTTGCTTCTATGGATTTGCCAATTCTAGACATTTCATATAATGGAATCTTTTGTCTGACTTCTTTCACTTTGTTTTCAAGGCTTATCCACGTTGTATGTAACAGTACTCCATTCCTTTTTATTGCTAAATATCTGATTTTAAAGATACACCACATTTTGTTTATTCAATTCACAGCTACTTGGGTTATATCCACATTTGGCTATAATCTAGTATTAATCATGTACAAGTTCTTATGTGGACATGGCTTCCATTTCTCTTGAATATGTGTAGCTAGGAATGGAATCTTCTGAGGAACTGCCAACTTCAAACTTTTCCACACCACAACGGGTAACCGTTTTACATATTAGTGGTGTATGAGCTTTCTAGTTTCCCCACATCTTCACCAATACTTGTAAATTACCCATATTCTTTTTTTTTTTTTAATATATTTTATGGATTTTTTTACAGAGAGGAAGGGAGAGAGATAGAGAGCTAGAAACATCGATGGGAGAGAAACATCGATCAGCCGCCTCCTGCACATCTCCCACTGGGGATGTGCCCGCAACCCAGGTACATGCCCCCGACCAGAATTGAACCTGGGACCCCTCAGTCCGCAGGCTGACGCTCTATCCACTGAGCCAAACTGGTTTCGGCTATTACCCACATTCTTGATTGTAGACAAGCTAAGTGTGAAATATTTGTATTCCAATTTGCATTTCTCTGATGACTAGTGATGTTGAGCACCTTTCTAATGTGTCTATCTTTGGAGATATGTCTACTTGGATTATTTCCCATTTAAGTATTTTGCTATTGAGTTATGTGTTCCTATATACTTAGGATTTGCATCTGCTTTGCTTTGCTATCCAAAAAACCATTGCATTGCCTAATTCATAGTCACAGACTGTTGCCTACATTTTCCCCTTGAGTTTTATACTTTGAGATCTTATTAAATCTTTGAATCACTTTAATTTTTGTATATAGTGTGAGGTAACCATCCAACTTCAGGCTTTAGCATGTAAATAAACAGCTGTCGTGGAACCATTTGTTGAAAAGATTCTTATCTTCAATAGACCACAAATTTTAAGTTTATATCTGGACTCAAATTTTATTTCATTGGTCAGCATATCTGTCCTATGCCAGTACCACTGTCAGTTACTAAATCATGTTCCCATTTAAGATTGTTTTGGCAAAAGAAAAAAAAGATTGTTTGGCTATTCTAAATCCCTTTTATTTCCATATACAGATTTTAGGATCCATTTGTCAATCTTGCAAAAAAGGTAGCTGGAATTTTATAGGAATTACACTGAATTTATAAATGAACTTTGGGAATATTTGAACGTGGGATTTCATTTTTAGGTCTTTCAATGGTGTTGTTTTTCATTTTGTTAAATATATCCATATGTACATTTTCATGTTATTATACATGGAGTTTCCTTTATTTCATTGCTATATAGTACAACTAATTAAGATTTTTTTATTTTTAGAGAGGGAAACATTCATGAGAGTGAAACCTGTATTGGCTGCCTCCTTTAGGCACCCCACTGGGAATCCAGCTCATAACTTGGGCATGTGCCCTGATAAGGAATCAAACTGGCAGCCTTTCCATGCACAGGACAGCACTCACCCGAGCCACACTGGCCAGGGCACAACTGATTTTGTGTATTGGTCTTGTGTCCTACAACCTTGATGGTCATTAGTTCTTTTTTTTTTTTTTTAATATATTTTATTGACTTTTTACAGAGAGGAAGGGAGAAGGATAAAGAATTAGAAACATCCATGAGAGAGAAACATGGATCAGCCGCCTCCTGCACATCTCCCACTGGGGATGTGCCCGCAACCCAGGTACATGCCCCTGACCGGAATCGAACCTGGGACCTTTCAGTCTGCAGGCCGACGCCCTATCCACTGAGCCAAACCAGTTTCGGCAAGTCATTAGTTCTTTTTGCATGGATTTCTTAGGGTCTTCTGTAAGATTTGTCGTCTGTGAACCCACTTCTGCCTTTTCCATCTAGATATCTTATTTCCTCTTCTTGCCTAATTCCCCTGGCTAGAACCTCATGCAAATGTTGAATGAAAGTGGCAACAGGGGGGCATCCTCATCTGGTTTTGTTAATCTTCACTGGGATTTCCCTCCCTTGCCCCCTCAATTGATTTCTAGAGTGGGAGGGGGAGAGACAGAAACATCGATGGGTTGCCTTCGGCACTTGCCCCAACTGGGGATCAAGCAGCAAATGAGGTGTGTCCTTGAACACGATCAAACCTGAAACCCTTCAGTCCATGAGCTGCTGAAGCTCTAACCACAGAGCGAAACTGGCGAGGTCTGTTTCTTGATCTTAGGGGGAAGGTTAAGTTTTTTGTTTTTATTGATTTCAAAGAAGGGAGAGGGAGAGATAGAAACATCAATGATGAGAGAGAATCTTTGATTGGCTGCCTCCTGCACGCCCCACACTGGGGATTGAGCCCACAACCTGGGCATGTGCCCTGACCTGGAATCAAACTTTTAGAGTTGGGGTTGATGCCATTCTTCAGAGGTTGAGGAAGTTCCCCTGTAATTTTGGTTTGAGTTTATTAAAAGGATTTTGAAAGAAATATTACAAGACTGATAGGAAGCATTTCAATACAGAATTCAAATAGAATGTAACTGGTGACTTTCAATCTATACATGTAAGATCTAATATATAAAGGAATTAACATGCATACTTTAATGAAATCTGGATAATTCCCTCAGACAAAAAAAAAAAATTACTTAAAAGATATCTATTCCTCCCATAGTGATAAAAATCTAGCTGGGACCTAGTTTCCCTTTGTAAGAAATACATGTACCAAAGCATTATTGCAAGGGCAGCTAACTTCATCAAGGTTTTGCAAAAGCTAAAATTCAGATGGGATATTAATAGTCACAGATAATCATCAACAAACATGTAGAACAGAGCTGACATTTTTATGACTGATGTTTTAATGTAGTTTTAGGTCATTCATCTTACAAACTTTGGAATGCCTACTATATGCTTAAGGCATTATGCCAGATTGTCCCAGATTCATATTAATACAATTCTCAATGACTTTTTCTTCATGCTTGCCCCAGGGACTATATCTGGGGGTGAATAGCAGCATATAACCAACTAAAAGCCTGGTGCACTCAGGGCGGGTGTGTGTGTGTGTCCCTTGACCTGGATTGCCAGGGCACAGGACAGGCTGAGGTACCCCACCAATGCACGATCAGGCCAGGGAGGGACCACAGGAGGGCTCCAGGGCATATCCGGCCCATCACGTTCAGTCCCGATCAGCCAACCCCATCAGCAAGCTAACCTACCAGTTGGAGCATCTGCCCCCTGGTGATCAGTGCACATCATAGCAAGCAGTTGACCCGCCTTAGCATATCATTAGCATTTTATGCTTTGATTGGTTGTTCTGCTGTTTTGTCTATTTGCATATTACCCTTTTATTATAAAGGATAGGGCTGTTTGATCAATCCTGTTTTTTGTTGTTTTTTAGAGGAGAAACATCGACATGAGAGCAGAATATCAATTGGCTGCCTTCTGCATGTGCCTCAAATGGCAATCAAACCTGAAACCCAGGCATGTGCCCTGACCCAGAAATTCAACCAACGACCTTTCTGTGCACAGGACAACCCCCAGTGAGCCACACTGGCCAAGGTGGATCAACCCTGCTCTATAGTCTCTTCTGGAGGTGAACATACAGTCACCATTTGATAACCTGCAGAGAAACAAACTTCCTTTATTTAATACTGATAAATGAATAATTTAAAAAGATGGATAGCTTAAGTTTACAAAATCAAGACTATACACTAATGTCAACCTCTAAAAAAGACAAATACTGAAACCCATACAAAATCAGAATTCTATAAATTAGAAAATGTTATAGGTTAGTGAAATTGTGGGAAAGACTATGTTAAAATCTACATGCAACTAAATACATGTTTGTAAATACTCTAAGTCTTCAAAAGTTCTACAACCTTACCTAAAAACATGGATATATCAAGACTCATAATCTATAAGAAACTATAATGTTTAAGGAAATACTGAAAAAAATTGAGGTATATATTAGATGCATTAGAAACTACCATTTAAACACTATTATAATATTAAATATAGTTTAATTTTAAGGTCTTTAATTTCAGTTAAAATCCATAAGTGGAAATTAGTTTGGATTGTCTGACAAAGAAAACAATAAAACTTGTTCTCAAAGACATACCAATACATTTCCTTGAAACAAAAGCTCAGCAAATGAGAATTTTCATACTATGCACTGGAATAACTAAAACTTTTATTAGATATGATTTTCCAATAACAACGTGAAAATTGGAACTATCAGTTCAAAGAGCAGTGAAGTCTGAAATTTTAAAAAGTAGACTAAATATTGGGTAGGGGATAAAAGATAAAGGAAGACGAAAATGTTTAATACTATTCAATATCTCCCCTCTGTACACAATGCTTCATATATACAACTACTCCATTTTATTGATTTTATCTAATAGTGAAATCCCCTTAAGTTGCCTAGGGTATACAGATGGTGTCCAACTTGGGGGAAAAAGAAACATACTTGATTAACAGTTTTCACTCACACACTTTAGACAGACAATTCTTTTTTTTTTTTTTGCAAGATTTTCATAGTAAATTCATAAATATAGGAAATACTTTCACTCCTTTCAGTGTTAAAATAGAAAACCAAACAGTGCCAACATTAATGGCTTAATTATTGGCATACAAGAAAAACACAACACCAATGAGTTTTCTTCATTATGCATTTTAAATATCAATAAATTTTCTAATCTGTTATAGATAACAGCATTTAGTAGTTTGAATTCATTGAGATGTTGCTTTCAATTTGAAATATTGTTGTATACATGTATATAAAAAATAACCCAATGTATGACCCATCTGACTGATGTTTAAGATCAATAAAGGCTTATTTTTTAACATGCAGTTAGGAGAGAGGGAAGCAAGCCAACCTCTCTACACTGTCTGTTGCTGGCTTACTTTTGCAGTGGTATCAATAGTGGTTTTGGAGGGAACCCTGTGCCATCTGCCTATCTATTTAAGATCAGATACCACAAAAGGGGTAAGGGGGGGAGGATATGTATTGAATGTCAAATTTTAAAAGTGTGCATTTTGCACTCTTTCTAAGTACAGGATAAAAACAGGCCAATAAGGAAAAAGTTCTTATAATGAGGAAAACACTGCAATCAAATCAAGACATAATAGCCGAATTAAGTTATTTTAATAGATTGCATATATCGATGGTTAGCCATAACTCTTGATAACTCTTTAAGAGTAGAACTTTATATCCAATTTACATGCTTCAAATATCACCTTTCTTATTACAGTAAGGTCTTGTATCCAAATATCCACTTGTACACTGAGAGCTTTAAGAAAAGCAGGACACAGAGGGAATTGCCATTTTTTAGCAGCAATGAAGTATCATTAACCCCTTTTAACATACCGAATTCAAGTCACTATCAGAGGTGAGCGCACCACAAAGTCACCAGATACAAAATTGCTAGTTCATTTTTAAATTAATAACTTGAATTACCCATGCCCCCCACCCCATTATATCCCTTCTTTTTATAAACAGCAAACATTTGCTATTTTATACATAGGCTAGCAGGCTTGTTTCAATATGAAAGTGCTAATTCATTTACAGATTTTAAAAAATCAGTTATGTAGTGCTACAATAAATGTCCAATCTACATAGGAACAATCTTTGATGAGTGAAAAGAAGAAGATGGAATAAGGTTGTCAATTACCTTATTTACATATGGAAAATAGATACTCAAAGATGAGGAAGAGACAGAAATCGGACAAATACTCATAGGCGTAGAAATTACATCTACCTTTGAGCTTATACTGTAAATGAGACAGTTTAAATAGTCCTGTAGCCCATGCCTATTTTTTCCTTAGAAAAAGAAAAGCTGCCTTCATGACATCCCCTCTTGTTTCATATTTCCACAGTGTCACTTGAATTTTCAGTCAGAATCTTACTTTCTTCAAAAAAATAGGAAATACACCCCTCTAAGTTGCCTCCCTCCCCCCCCCACAAAATCCCTCTCGTTTCTTTTTCAGTGCCAAGTTCCATGATCAGGTCTGACCTCCTGTTTTTTTGTGTGTGTATTTTTGGTTTTTTTTTTTTTTTTTTTTTTTTTTTTGTCCATCTATTGATCAATTAGTTTAGAGTGGATAACATGAACCAGTTCTGAAACCGCTACTAGGAGGAACACAAGCTCATCACTACAATCACACAGCAGGAAAGACAGTGGTAACTCAGTTCATCCCTGGTGCCGGGCCTCCAAAGTTGAAAGAACTTGGCACAACTGGAGCACTGAATTTGTATCCTCCATGCTTCTCAATCATTTTGGATTCTAGAAAACAAATAAGTGGTAGTTTAATAGAACATGTGATCATCTTACTTGCTTTGGAGAACTAAGTTCCAAATCTAGAGTATCCTCTAAAATGTTCTTAAAAAAAAAAAATTATATATTTCAGAGAGGAAGGGAGAGATAGAAACATCAATGATGAGGAGAATTATTGATCGAATGCCTCCTGCAAGCCCACACTGGGGATGGAGTCCACAACCCAGGCATATGCCCCGGCAGGGAATCGAATTGTGACCTCATGGTTCATAGGTCAATGCTCAACCGATGAGCCTTACAGGCTGGGCAAAAATGTCCTTTTTTGAAATGCATACTAGCTAGAATGTTTAAAGATAAAGAGATAAGGTAATATCTGAGATTTTCTTTACCATAATTCTAAAGAGTTGTTACCATAACTTTTAATTTTTTTTTTTACACTTTTAATAAGATTTTCAACTACCAAGCCATCACCATGTGCTTGAGCAACCTTAAAACTTCTGCACAGCCAAACCGGTTTGGCTCAGTGGATAGAGCATCAGCCTGCGGACCGAAAGGTCCCAGGTTCGATTCTGGTCAAGGGCATGTACCTTGGTTGCGGGCACATCCCCAGTAGGAGGTGTGCAGGAGGCAGCTGGTCGATGTTTCTCTCTCATCGATGTTTCTAACTCTCTATCCCTCTCCCTTCCTCTCTGTAAAAAATCAATAAAAAATATATTTAAAAAAAACAAAAACAAAAAACTTCTGCACAATGAAAGTAGTCTTCAGCTACACTTAAAATCAATAAAGTAGCCAAACACAAAATTCATTTCATTTCATTCCTTCAGGTTAGAGTGGATTCCTATCACCTACAACAACTGGAGCATTTACATAGCTAAAAATAATTTAATATAAAATTTTAAACCAGCCGAAACCGGTTTGGCTCAGTGGATAGAGCGTCAGCCTGCGGACTGAGAGGTCCCGGGTTCGATTCCGGTCAAGGGCATGTACCTGGGTTGTGGGCACATCCCCGGTGGGGGAGGTGCAAGAGGCAACTGATCGATGTTTCTCTCTCATCGATGTTTCTAACTCTGTCCCTTCCTCTCTGTGAAAAATCAATAAAATATATTTAAAAAAAAAAAAAAATTTTAAACCTATATCAAATCATGAACTGCATTCAAGAGGGGTTGTGGTCAAATTAACATACCATGGGCTGCCCTTCTTTGATCAGCCAGAGTTGCTATATCCTGTAACTGTTTTCTTTGTTCTTCATTAAGACCATGAGTCAGAGTCTGATACCACACAGGATTACGATTTTGTATAGCTATCAAAAAGAAACAAAACAGGGAAATGGAAATAGTGAGAGACCTGGTAGCTCCTTTCTAGTCTGTCCCCTGAACTCCTCCTCCAGTACTAAAATTCTGGTCTATTTTACATTCCCTCAACAGTCCTTCCTTCTGGATGAAGCCGCGGTGGTGGAGGCCAAACTCCTTGCACGAATTTCGTGCATCGGGCCTCTAGTAATTTATAGTGTCCAATTCTCAGACAGCTAAGTGTGGATTTGGCTGGGAAGATACATAAACACAAGAGTGAATACTTCTGGGGTAAGCTGGGAGGCTAGAAATCAGAAGTGGGAAAGAGGAACTATCATCATATAAACTTTTTGAACCGCACTATTTTCCTATAATATGCATGATTCAAAATTATAATCTAAATAAAAATAATAAGATAAAGAAAATCCTCTCAAACTATGGCAACAGTAGAAATAACTTTGGTTACTTTGCCTAACAATCCTAAATCATATTCTATTGGGTATGATATACTCAAATCCCTTTAAGGGACAGATCTAAGAACAGATTGGTTCACGGAAATTGATCATATTAGAAGTATATAAATTACATATGACGTGACTTACTTTGAAATATAGCTTTAAATATTTGATACTCATCAACAGGGTTATCTTCATCATCAATGATTGTGGAATAGCCTTCCAAAGCAGTCTCCTCAGCATCATTTTCTTCCCATTCGTCATCATCTCCATCTTCACCTGCTTGTTTAGCCAGAATCTCTAAGTATTCTTGACCATCTTCATCAATGTCATCTTCATCACTCCCCAGTTCCTCTGCCAAGTCAAAAAATAGGCCCTTTTGTTAATATTGCAATATTCTGTTACTCAACCAACTGACAGTAATAACAGTAAACTACAAATCCTAATTGAATAAATTCAGGGAAGAATTCCAGGAATTGGTGTTTAGGTATGTGTTTAGCAATAAATAGGAAAAAACTTCTCGAAGGAATGCAAGAAACCCAACTATAATTCTTAATAAACCAAACACTAATAGTTATGTAGTTTATATTACATCCACAGAACTCGTTTGGCAAGACTTTTTAATGGCTGGCTATTAAAATGTTCACACATTTTAATAAAAGACAAAAATGGCAATTGTAACCTTATTTTGGAACCATTATAATAATTTCTCTTAACCAACATTCTATTAATTTATACTCTTATAGTCTATAGTGTCTTGTAGGTGAAATATACTAGGCAACATCCAATTTATTTTATTTTACAGTTAGGACGCTGAGATTTTAGCACTAATAAATGATAGATCAACACATAAATGCCTAGAAGTGCTTTTATAGATATAGCTGAGTTCCTGCCTTCTTAGACCTTACCTTAATGGGAAGGTAAGACTGTCTTTCTATGAATAATGGAAATGAAAACATTTGGCTATGATTTCACATTTTTTTAGAATAGTGGTTCTCAACCTTACTAATGCCGCGACCCTTTAATATAGTTCCTCATGTTGTAGTGACCCCCAATTTCATTGTTACAAATTGAACATAATTAAAGCATAGTGATTAATCACAAAAACAATATGTAATTATATATGTGTTTTCCAATGGTCTTAGGCAACCCCTGTGAAAGGGTCATTTGACCCCCAAAGTGGTCGCGACCCACAGGTTGAGAACCACTACTTTAGAAGAAGGGCTAATAAGTAAGTTAAGTCTAGTGATATTTCTAACTAGGTAAATTTGGCTTTCTCCGTCCCAAATCCCTTACCCGTTTCATCATCATCATCAGCTTCATCATCATCATCACTGTCATTTTCATGTTCTGCATGGCAGGCATATGCTCTTTTTAATCCGTTAAATAAAAGGATAAAAGCTGGCAAAATCTGTCCAGAAACCTGATTTAAAACTTGTGGTATCTGTTCCATATCAATAAGAGCACACAGGCCCAGAACACACATCTTTCTGTCATGTAGCCTAAAAAGTAAAATAAAGATATTTTCTTTTTTTCTTAATAAGTAAAGTTCCTTACAAAGTTAAGTAAATAAATATCCAATATATGTCACTCACCCCAAGAAACAATCAACATCATTAAGCCACTGTGTAATAAAATGATTTGTAACTGGTTCAATGTTATTAGGGAAGCGAAGATTTTCTAAGGTGTTAAGAAGGAGGTGAGGATTATAATACAAAGCTGCAATGGCAACTTGCAGGCACATTGTTCGAAGTTCACTTGTCTTCACCTCTCTTGTCAGTCTCTCTAATGCTGCTTCCACGAATGAGGGAATGCACTATTAAGAAAGAAAAATATTCCAAAATTACAAATTAACAGCAATCTAATTATCCTACCCATATTAACTTACTTGTTCCCTCATTTCACCCTCTTTCCCCATTAAATGATATAATAGCTTTTTGTTGAGGCATTTCACTGGGAAATCTAATTTTAGAGAGAGATAAGTCTTCATCAAGATAGAGCCTCGCCCTAAGTGGTTTGGCTCAGTGGATACAGTGTCAGCCTGAAGACTCAAGGGTCCCAGGTTCCATTCTGGTCAAGGGCAAGTACCTTGGTTTCGGGCACATCCCCAGTAGGGAGTGTGCAGGAGGCAGCTGATCGATGTTTCTCACTCTCTATCCCTCTCCCTTTCTCTCTGTAAAAAATCAATAAAATATATTTTAAAAAATAAAAATCAAAATCATCATTCTCCCCTTAAAAAAAAAAAAGAAAGATAGAGCATTGCCAGCAATAGCTATCATGGATTCGCAATACTCCAACTGGCTAACCTTACCATGGCAATAATTTCTGCAATATATACATGTATCAACTCATCACATTGTATATCTTCAACTTATACAATGTTCTATTTCAACTAGAGGCCTGGTGCACAAAAATTTGTGCACTGGGTGTGTGTGTGTGCCTCAGCCAACCTGTGCCCTCTCAGTCTGGGATCTCTCGGGGGATGACCACCTGCTGGCTTAGGCCTCCTCGCCAGGGGATTGGGCCTAAGCTGGCAGTCAGACATCCCTCTGGCAGCCCGGGAGCCCTCGGGGGATGTCCACTTGCCAGCGGGGAGCAGGCCTAAGCTACAGTCAGACATCCTTAGCGCTGCTGAGGTGGCGGGAGAGGCTCCTACCACCACCGCTGTACTGGCAGCCGTCAGCCTGGCTAGTGGCTGAGCAGAGCTGGTCCTGTGGGAGTGCACTGACCACCAGGGGGCAACTCCTACATTGAGTGTCTGCCCCCTGGTGGTCAGTGTGTGTCATAGTGACCAGTCATTCCCAGCCGTTCTGCTGTTAGGGTCAATTTGCATATTACCCTTTTATTATATAGGATACTATAAGAAATTCTAGTCAAAACTTACCTTGCATGATAACAAATAGCCATAAAACTTGCCAGTCATATTGAACACATGTATATTAAACAATATTATTATATATTTACTAAATTTTAAACCAAGTTAGGTGTCATAATAAACAACAATGTACAGAATATATGACAAATGGCCAAAAAGAAAAAAGTGGAGGGGAAGATTTCCTCTCTGAAGCCTCACAAACAAATCATTAATAGTTAGCCTTACTGACCTGGTCAATGCCACGCCCTTTGCACTGTAGAATGATGACCTCTAATAATTTTGCTGCATGACACTCTGCATCTTCTCCTGCAACCCCTGTAAGAACCTGATCAACACAATACAAATTGAAGCGAGGCATCATGAAACCTTCCAATCTGAGAATTTCTGTCCTGTCTTTAGTCTCTGGAGTATTTAAGATACTCTAACTATGAATGATTACAATATTCAGATTATAATCTAATGCACCTGGGAGGATGCAGTTGTTTGTCACATTCTACCAATCTGGATCTTGGTCTACATAATCAAAGCACCTCCCCATAGTGCCATTCCAGACAGTAACACCTTGACAACCATTACTTTTCACAGAAACATGCCAAAAGACCCTACCTTTCTCAGGGATATCTGGCTCTTATGTAAAGAACTACAAAAAAACTAAGCCGATATTGTTTAAAATCTTTTCTCTACACAAGTCTCAAAAAATACTGTGTGGGACAGGAGGAAGCAAGAGGCAGACAAGAAATGTCCTGGGACAAATAATAAAAAACATGGAGTAGGTGTGCTAGTTAGTACTAAAGGGCTGAAAATGTTAATGACAATGTTCTGGAATATGATGGTGTAGATATCTATTCCCAGAGTATTAACATGATAATAGTACTGGCAATAAATATTAAATAACAAGTAGGTGATTATTTTGTGACTAAGCTGTCAGAAAGGAAATGAGGACAAGCACATCTAAAAACTTCATGGAGCAAAATAATTTTTTAAATGCCTGATGTTAAACAGCCTGCTTGCCTCTCAACAAGCACTTTTAAAAAATTAAATGCTATCAATCATAGTGACTTTGATATTGAAGAGCCTCCATTCAAGTATTTTATTCCCTCTAATTGAAGAAAAGCATTTTTTAAAAAAGCATTCACCATAAATTTATCTTGTACTTTTCCCAAGAAATGGCACAGTACTTTTGACTTTATAAGAAACCCTCACATGTTACAATCTTGCTATTTACTAAATAATTAGTGTATAGTCTCCATAAACCCACTGTCTCCAGGAATTTTCTTTATAAAATATCTGTAATGATTCCTGATCCTTTCAAAAATATCTCAAGTTTTAGATACTTTCCTTCTATGGACTCAAAGTCTAGCAAAGAACTAAGCTAAAGTTAAGCTCCAAGCACTCTGAAAATCAAAAACATTTATAACTTTAGTTAAATGTCAGTGGGCAGACACAAGAAAAATAATTGTCAAAGCCATTACTGTGGCATCTAAGAAATCAAGGTCTTATTTAGTTTAAACTTTTAAAGGCCTTATTCTGTTAGACCCATATAATCTGTTTGCCATAATGTGGTATGATGTAACTTAACAATTTTATACTTTTCATAGCACCAGCTTCATGACATACGTTCTTCTATTAATTAAAAATGACCTACCTTTTTGCACATACTGTATATCATTTCAAGATACTTGGTATCAGATAGAAGTGTGTCTGTATCAACTGTCACATAATTATGAAGCAGAGGCATCATATCTGTATTAAAAAGCACCAGTTAATTACCTTTACTAATATAAATACTTTGGTTTGGAAAAATCTCCTTAGAAAAAGAAAGCAAATCTGAGGTTGTTTTTCTGTAATATTTGCTTTTAATGAAGGTATATTTATAATTAGATGTAGGAGTGAACCATTATTAAAGTGAATTCCTTTATAGTTAGTAGTTAAAACACAAAGATTATACAAAGAATATGGACAGGGAGCCAGAGGGTAAGAACATGTGTTAAAAGGAAAAACAAAACAAAACACTAAATAACTAAATCAAAATATACAATGGAAATCAATGCTATGGATCCTTGAGCATTAACTGGTACTAATAATATATCCAAACAAATCATGCACTTAGAATATTCAAAAGTACGTGTTCAACTGATATACATCAAAATGGAAAAAAATCTTCAGTATTTCTATGCTGATTTACCTGTAAAGTAATCAAAACCATCTTGTTGAAAAACCTCAAATACCAGAGGTAGAAGCTGCCACATCTGTGGAGACACTTGTTGACATGTCAAACTATGTGCTAAAGAGAAGATCTCCTCATAGAATTCTAAAAGAGAACATGGAGACATTAGTATAATGCTTGCTGATGTGAAATAGCAGTAAATTCTTACCACAACTAGAGGTATATACCTAAGACATGCTGTTGTAAAACAGTTCCAATGACCTGTAAGCAGATTCCCTCAAGCTGCTGAGTTATCTAAAAGAAAAGGGAAAAAAAATTACATGGAGGAATCACAGCACCTGAATGAATTACTGAGCAATGTATAATGTAATTCAGTGTATTACATTTTAGGTCTCTGCACTGAAATGATTCACTCATAATATTACAATGTTGTGAACCATAACACAAGGAATAACATATGTAGTTTACCCAAAAATTAAAGGAGCCACAAACATTCTGTAGACAGACTTTAAATTTTTGTGTGGCCGAAACCGGTTTGGCTCAGTGGATAGAGCATCGGCCTGCGGACTGAAAGGTCCCAGGTTCGATTCCGGTCAAGGGCATGTACCTGGGTTGCGGGCACATCCCCAGTAGGAGATGTTCAGGAGGCAGCTGATCGATGTTCCTCTCTCATCGATGTTTCTAACTCTCTATCTCTCTCCCTTCCTCTCTGTAAAAAATCAATAAAATATATTTTAAAAAAAAAAAAAATTTTTGTGTGTATAAGTATTAATTCAGTTATAGATATCATATATCTATAACTGAAAAGTCACTGTCAGTGACTTACAGAACAATTATTTGAAAGAAAACATTATTCTAACCACTTCCAATAATTCTTAAATCACCTCCACTTATATAATTATAGTAGATATAGAGAACCAGGCCCCTAATCATATAAGACAGAAAATACAAATTCTTTTTATTGTTAGTGTGGTCTTCAATTGGATCCCAAATACCTGAAATGCATCAGGATGTTTATAAAGGCGCAAGGGGAAATAAGATAAAAATTTACTAATCAGATATAAAAAAAGAACATCCATCTCAAATACATATTATGCTTAATACATTTTCTTCAAATATAGTAAACAATTGACTTGCTAATCATAAGTTAGCTTAACTATATGGCTTCTACCTACCTACTATTATCAAGAATAAAAAATAATTTATTAAAATCTGATGTTGCAAAAGGCAATTTGTAGATATTCTGAAAGCACAATTTGTGGATATAAATATCTACACTGGAATTAAAACAGCAAGTTCAGGACAGTGATTACTTCAAAGGGAAGGAAATAAAGAAATGAGATTAGGAAATGGTAACCCAAGAACTTTAATGACATAAATTTGAAATTGTTTTTCTTACTAGAAATAAAATCTAAAGGATATACTGTAAAATGTTAAAATCTAATACATTTTGGTGGTGATTAAAGAGTTTTGGGTATAGTTTTTCTCTGTATATTTCTCTTTTCTGTATATATTTTCAATAATTCCATTTAAAAAATTCATTTACAGGTCACACCTTTTTTAAAAGATAATAATAAATGAAAACTACAAAGATGATGATGATGGTTGCACAACAATGTGAATATATTACTGAACTATACGTGTAAAAATAGTTAAGATGGTCATTTTATGTTATGTGTATTCTACCATAGGTAAAAAAAATTTTTTTTTTTATCGATAAGAAACACCAAGTAGCATATTATTTTCCTAGGAATCACCACACTTTTGGATCTGGAAAAGGTAACCTAAGAGGGAGCCAAAAATCCTCAGCCTTGGGGTAAAGATATGGTAATATAAATATCGTGTTCCTTCTAGTAGTAAGGAACCTAAAACAAGGTACTCTTATGCTTATAATAGGGAACTATTTAAAAGATGGCAGAATCAAGGTGCATGAGAAAATGACCAAAATTTTATGTAAAAGCCATCCAAAAAACATAGAATAATTGATAAGGAATGGCTTGAAATAACCTAAACCCTTTACACTAGATCAATCCCTTACCTCTTTATGATCTTCAACTACACTAAGAAGTGTGTCAATAGTATTCAAGATCCCCATAGCAGTAACAGCTTTGTCATCACTTCCTTCTTCATCTGGCCCAGTCTGGATTACTTGATTAAATGTCATTGCCTAGATTAAAAAGAATATAATTTAGGTTTGCCATTAAAACAGCATAAACATTTTTTGGTCTAAAAATTTTAATTTTAAAATGTTCTCACTGGAACAACATAAGCAATGTTTCCAAATTGATCAGTAATAATTAAGAGCTTGGACACTATAATCAAATGGTACTTTTCTGTGAATTTCTGGGGGACCTTAAACAACTTATTTGACCTCTGTTTCCTGACATCTCATTTGGGAACTTCATAGAGAAACTGTGAAAATAAATGAGGCAAAGGACAGAAACTGTTTAATACTATGAATATTTTTCTTTATTGATTAAGTTATTACATATGTGTCCTTATGCTCCCATTGCCCCCCACCCCTACTATGAATATTTTTATTAATATTACTGGCTAATTGCTGATAATGCCCAAATACAGGTATCAGGTATATTAACCATCAAGGTTTTGTTATTGCAATATTCAACTATTTGAAACAAATTTCTGAGTCATAACTAATAATAAGACCAACATATTATAAATGCAATATACATACATAATGAATGATATTACATTTATTCAAATGTCCTCATACATGGAAAAATTAGCTGTTAAGAATATAATTTTCCGCCGAAACCGGTTTGGCTCAGTGGTTAGAGCGTCGGCCTGCGGACTGAAGGGTCCCAGGTTCGATTCCGGTCAAGGGCATGTACCTGGGTTGCGGGCACATCCCTAGTGGGGGATGTGTAGGAGGCAGCTGATCGATGTTTCTCTCTCATCGATGTTTCTGACTCTCTATCTCTCTCCCTTCCTCTCTGTAAAAAATCAATAAAATATATATATATAAAAAAAAAGAATATAATTTTCTGCCCTGACTGGTTTGGCTCAGTGGATAGAGCATTGGCCTGCGGGCTGAAAGGTCCCAGGTTCAATTCCGGCCAAGGGCATGTGCCTTGGTTGTGGGCACATCCCCAGTAGGAGGTGTGCAAGAGGCAGCTGATCGATGTTTCTCTCTCATAAATGTTTCTAACTATCTCTCTCTCTTCTCTGTGAAAAATCAATAAAATATATTTGGAAAATATATATATAATTTTCCAACCCTGCCTGAAGTGGCTCAGTTGGTTAAGCATCGTCTATGAACCTAAAAGGTTGCCAGTTTGATTCCCAGTTAGGCCACATACCCAGGTTTTGGGCTTATTCCCCAGTAGGGGGTGTGCAGTAGGCAACCAATCAATATTTCCCTCTACTATCAATGTTTCTCTCTCTCTCTCTTCCTCGCTCTCTATCTAAAAACCAAAAAAGGGGTAAACTTTAAAAATGTACAATTTTCCAGGAAACTATTTCTAAAATTTTGTTTTTACTGAATTTGTTAGGGTAACATTGGTTAATAAAATTATGTTTCAGGTGTACAGTTCTATAATACACATCTGTATATTGTAGTGTGTTCCCCATTCAACGTCAGTCAAGTCTCTTTCCATCACAATTTATCCCCCTTTTACCCTTGCCTACCTTCTTCTCCACCACCCTTTCCCTCTTATAATCACTACTAGAGGCCCGGTGCACAAAAATTTGTGCATTCAGGGGGCAGTCCCTTAGCCCGGCCTGTGCCCTCTTGCAGTCTGGGACCCCTTGGGGGATGACCACCTGCTGGCTTAGCCCGCTCCCCAGGGGATGTCCACTTGCCAGTGGGGAGCAGGCCTATGCTGCAGTTGGACATCCTTAGCGCTGCTGAGGAGGCAGGAGAGGCTCCCACCACCACCGCTGTACTGGCAGCCATCAGCCTAGCTTGTGGCTGAGCAGAGGTCCCCCTGTGGGAGCGCACTGACCACCAGGGGGCAGCTCCTGCATTAAGCGTCTGCCCCCTGGTGGTCAGTGTGTGTCATAGTAACCAGTCATTCCCAGTGGCTCTGCTGTTAGGGTCAATTTGCATATTACCCTTTTATTATATAGGAGAATAAGTGTTGTCTGTGTTTACATGGTTTTTGCTAAATCCCTTTACCCTTTTTACCTAGATCTCCAACTCCCTCCCTGACAGGTGTGTCAATCTGTTTTCTGTATCTATGACTCTGTTTCTATTTTGTTTAGTTTGTTCAGTAGATTCTACATTTCTACATAAGTCTTTCTCTGACTGGTTTATTTCACTTAGCATAATCTTCTCCCAGTCCATCCATTTCCTTCTTTCTTACAGCCGAGTAATATTCCACTGTGTAAATGTACCATAGCTTTTTATGCACTCATTTACTGATGGGCACTTGGGCTACTTCCAAATCTTAACTATTGTAAATAAAGCTGCAGTGAACATAGGGGTGCATATATTCTTTCAATTTAGTATTGAGTTTCTTTAGATAAATTCCCAGAAGTGGAATTTCTGGGTCACAGGCAGTTCCATTTTCAATTTTTCAACTCCATACTGCTTTCCACAGAGACTATACTGATCTGCATCCCCACCAACAGTGCACAAGGGTTCACTTTTCTCCATATCCCTGCTAACACTTGTTTATTGACTTGATGATAGCCATTCTGACAAGTGTGAGGTTATATCTCATGGTGGTTTTCATTTGCATTTCTCTGATGATTAGTGACCTTAAGCATCTATATAATAAAAGGGTAATATGCTAATTAGACAGGACATATTCCGGACATCCATCCAGACAAAGCCACGGTGCGGGGTCTGAGGCAGAGGCACAGGCAGTTAGGGATGGGCCTAAACCGGTAGTCGGACATCCCCCGAGGGGTCTTGGATTGGAGAGGGTGCAAGCCAGGCTGACGGTTACCCCCCCCCCCCGCTGTGCATGAATTTCACACACTGGGCCTCTAGAGTCTAGACTATCTACACTGATAAAAGAGAAACATGCAAACTGACCATCCCTCCGCTATGCCCACCAGCCAATCAGAGCGATATGCAAATCAACCCAACAAAATTGGCAGTTAATTTGCATACACAGACACGGAGCGAAGACTGAAGACAGTGCAGAAGGAAGCCAAGCGCTGTAGAAGGGAGCGAAGTGGCGGACAAGGGAATGGAGCCAAGGCAGCGGACGGGAGGGAGTGAGGCAGCAAAGCAGTGGAGAAGGGAGGGAAGCGGCGGAGACAGGAGGGAGCGATGTGGTGGAGAAGGGAGGGAGCCAAAGCAGCGGAGAAGGGAGTGAAGCCCATCTCAGCGGGCTTCGTTCCCTTCTCTGCTTTGCTCTGGCCTCAGGAAGCCCTTTTCTTGTAGGAATAGGCCCGAGGAAGCCCTATTTCTTGCAGGAATTTTCCTGCAACGGGCCTGTAGCATATATATATATATATATATATATAAAAGCCTAAGTGACCGAATGACCGGTCGCTATGATGTGCACTGACCACCAGAGGGTAGACTCTCAATGCTACTAGCAGGCTCACGGCTGGCAAGCACAGCCTCTCCTGCTTCCATGGTGCGGCAGCAGGCCCTGCAGGGCTGGGATGAGCGGGAAGGCACAGCGCCCAACTCAGGCTCCTCCCCAGGCGCTTCGTGCACTACTTCATCTTGGGGGATGCTGAACTGTTGGGGATCGGGCCGAAACCGGCAGTCCGTTATCTCCCGAGGGGTCCTGGATTGCGAGAGGGCACAGGCCAGGCTGAGGGCCTCTAGTCTTTTCATATGTATACTGGCCACCTGTATGTCCTTTTTCAAGAAGTGTCTATTCAGGTCCTATGCCCATTTTTTAATTGGGTTGTTTCTTTTGTGTTGAGTTGTATTAATTCTTTATAAATTTTGTATATTAACCCTTTATCAGATGTATCATTGATAAATACGTTATCCTTTTCTTTTTGTTAATGGTTTCCTTTGTTGTGCAAAAACCTAGCCCAGCAAGCGTGGCTCGGTGATTGAGCATCACCTCATGAACCAGGAGGTCATGGTTTGATTCCCAGTCAGGGCACATGCCCAGGTTACAAGCTTAATCCTCAGTGGGGGGCATGCTGGAGGCAGCCAATCAATGATTCTCATCATTGATGTTTCTCTCCCCTCCACTTCCTCTCTGAAATCAATGAAAACATATTTAAAAAAACAACGAACCTTTTAGTTTGATGTAGTCCCATTTTAAAACTTTTCTCCTTGTTTCCTTTGCCCAAAGAAATATATCAGAAAAAATATTGCTAAGAGAAATGTCAGAGACTTTACCACTTATGTTTTCTTCTAAGAGTTTTATGGTTTTAAGTCTTACATTTAAGTTTTTAATTCATTTTGAGGTTATACTTGGTGTGAGAAGGTAGTCAATTTTCATTTTTTTGTATGTATCTGTCCAATTTTGCAAGCACCATTTATTGAATAGGCTTATCTTTACCCCATTGTATGTTCTTGCCTCCTTTGTCATATACTAATTGACCATAAAGATGTGGATTTCTTTTCTTTTCTTTCTTTCTTTTTTTTTTTTTTTATTGCTTAAAGTATTACAAAGAAGATGTGGATTTCTTTCTGGGCTCTCTAGTCTGTTCTATTGCTCTATCTGTGTTGTTTTATGCGAGTACTATGCTATTTTGATTACTATGGCCTTATAGCATAGTTTTATTATCAGGTAGCATGATTTCTCCAATGTTGTTCTTTCTCAAGATTGCTGTCACTATTCAGGGTCTTTTGTGGTTCCATACAAAATTTTGGAATATTTGTTCTAGTTCTATAAAATATGCCATTGGTATCTTGATAGGAACTGCATTGAATCTATAGAATGCTTTCAGTAATATGGACATTTTAATAATGTTAATCCTTCCTACCTATGGACACAGCATATGCTTCCATTTATTCGTATCTTCTACAATTTCTTTTTTTTTTTAAGATATATTTTATTGATTTTTTACAGAGAGGAAGGGAGAGGGATAGAGAGATAGAAGCATCGATGAGAGAGAAACATCGATCAGCTTCCTCCTGGGGATGTGCCCGCAACCAATGTACATGCCCTTGACCGGAATCAAACCTGGGACCCTTCAGTCCGAAGGCCAATGCTCTTTCCACTGAGCCAAACCGGTTACGGCATCTTCTACAGTTTCTTTCTTCATTATCTAATAATTTTCCAAGAACAGGTCCATTTATATCCTTGGTTAAATTTATTCCTAGGTGTGTTTTTTGTTTTTTGTTTTTAATGCAATTGTAAATGGGATTGTTTTCTTAATGTCCCTTTCTGATAGTTCATTATTAGTATACAAAAATGAAACCGATTTCTGGACATTTTGTATCCTGCTACTTTACTGAATTTATTTACCAGTTCCTGTTTTTTGGCTGAATATTTAGGCTTCTCAATATGCAGTAACATGTAATCTGTATATAATGACAATTTTACTTCTTCCTTTCCAAGTTGGATGCCTTTTATCTCTTCTTCTTGTGTGATCACTGTGGCTAGGAATTCTAGTACTATGTTGAATAAGAGTGGTGACAGCAGACATCCCTATCTTGATCCTGGGAAAATGGTTTTAATTTTGTCCACTGAATATGATGTTGGTTGTGGGTTTATTATATATGGCCTTTATTATGTTGAGGTATGTTCCCTCTATTTCCACATTGCTGAATTTATTTTTGTTTTTTTAAGCATAAATGGGTCCTGGATTCATAAAACTTTTCCTTTACTTAAATCAACTACAAATATCATGAGTTACATTCTTGAAACCTTAATACTTAGAAATATAAACTGCATTAAATAAACCTTTGTACAGGGAAAAGGGATGGGTAATTGTTGGGCATATGTTCATACTTATTATTACTACCCTTAAATAATTTACTTACTTCTCAGAAGATTGGGGCTATACAGGCCATGTATAAATTGTTTCAACAAATTTCATTTTAAAAACTAGTATGTCTACTTCATCTTTAAGTTGGTCCAAAATATCCCAGTAAAACAGGCAATCATAATGCAGTGTGAGGTAGCAGTTAAATGTGAATCATGCCCAGCTGGTGTGGCTTAGTGGTTGAGCGTTGACCTATGAACCAGAAGGTCACATGCCTGGGTTTTGGGTTCGATCCCCAGTGTGGGGCATGGAGGAGGTAGTCGACAGATGTTTCTATCTTCCTATCCCTCTGGTTTCTCTCCCTCTAAAATCAATAAAAAACATAAAAACAACAACAATAACAAAAAAGCCCTAGCCGATTTGGCTCAGCAGATAGAGCATCGGACTGTGGACTGAAGGGTCCCAGGTTTGATTTCAGTCAAGGGCACATGCCTGGGTTGTGGGACTGATCCCCAGTAGGGGGCAGGAAGCAGCCAATCAATGATTCTCTCTCATCATTGATATTTCTTGATCTCTCTCTCTGCTTTCATCTCTGAAATCAATAAAATGTTTTGATTTATTTTTTTGAAAAAGGGATGTGCAATGTAAAGACATACAGCTCAGATGTGAATTTTAGCCCCGCTCATTCTAGTTATGGGCAAGCCCTATCAAGGGCTTACAGTGTTATCTGGCATACAGTAAGCTCTGTGAAAATGCTTTCTATAAGGTAAGTAATGCATGAATGATTGGTTCAAATAACATACCAAATGCTGTGTCATTTCTACTGCAATAGGAGTAACTTCTTCACTATACTCGCAGATCATTTTCTGAATTACATTTGTAAGATCATCATTTTCTGTTTCTCTTATAATATGAAGAAGAGCTTGCATTACAGGTCTGATGAATGGTGTGATGTATTCTTTAGCTGTAAGAGTTGAAAAAAGAAAAATATTTTAGGATAAAACCTGATACAACATGCACCAAATGGTAAAAAAGACACTTTCACATAAAAGAAAGATTAGCCCTAACCGGTTTGGCTCAGTGGATAGAGCGTCAGCCTGCGACTGAAGGGTCCCAGGTTCGATTCCGGTCAAGGGCATGTACCTTGGTTGCCGGCACATCCCCAGTGGGGGGTGTGCAGGAGGCAGCTGATCGATGTTTCTCTCTCATCGATGTTTCTAACTCTCTATCCCCTCTCCCTTCCTCTCTGTAAAAAATCAATAAAATATATTTAAAAAAAATAAAAGAAAGATTATGTGTCAAGTATCTAGGATTATGCCTTGTGCAGTTATGGAGGGAAGGGGGGTGGGCGAGGGAGAAATGCTGCATTATTTGAGATATAAACCCTTTACCTTTTTCTTGATTGCTGATTAACACCTGAAGTGCAATGGCAGCTTCCACTTTCACAGGCATTTCCCTATCATCAATGAGACATGTTCGTGTCAGCTCTAAGGCTGTTTTCAGGTTCTGGTCACTTTTGAACTTAACTTCACAGAAATAGTGAAGGACCCAGCAAGCCTTTAAAAAAAATGCAGTGAGTTATTATAGATAGCTTAAATTTCCAAAAGCTATACAGTATCTCTATTCCCAAAGTTCTGTATGGGAATTTGGAGGCTGGCCAGTGGTAAATTATGTCCAATGAGACAACACTAGACCAGTACTATGATCCCAACTTACTCTTTGGCTGCATGATGTTTGTGTGGATAGCAAGATCTGAATGCAAAACACAGACAGACACTGCTATCAGACACAGATGAAAACTATGCACACATTACATCAGCCATTTACATAAGCTCTTCCCCAAAGCCGCCAGAGGTGACCTCTGAAAATGGTTTGCTCATCACTTAAATCAGAAAACCCCACAATATCATGCAAATCAAGAGGCTCAAATCTCTGTGTTCACTTTAAGAACACTCATGAAACCGCCCAGGCCATCAAAGGTATGTATATTCGAAAGCCACCAAGTATCTGAAGGATGTCATTTTAAAGAAACAGTGTGTACCATTCCATCATTACAATGGTAGAATTGGTAGGTGTACCCAGGCAAAACAGTGGGGCGGACATAGGGTTGGTGGCCCAAAAAAAGGGCTGAATTTTTGTTGCACATGCTTACAAATGCAGAGAGCAATGCTGAATTTAAGGGTTTAGATGCAGATTCTCTGGTCATTGAGCACATCCAGGTGAACAAAGCTCCAAGATGCGGGGTAGAACTTACAGAGCTCATGGGTAGATTAACCCATACATGAGCTCTCCCTGCCACATAGAGTGATCCTCACAGAAAAAGAGCAGATTGTTCCCAAACCAGAAGAGGAGTTTGCACAGAAGGAAAAATATCCCAGAAGAAACAAAAACTCATGGTCCAAGAGTAAATTCAGCATAAAATAAATAAAAGTAAAAGCAGAAAGAAAAAAATTTACATAATACAGAGGTAAAATATGAAATATGGCTTTTAAAATGAACATTAAAAAGTTTTCATTTAAAAGTCCACATAGGCAGTCATTCATTATAAGACATAACTATATAAATTAATACAGCATTAAAACTTACTCTTGCTCTCATGTAGCCTAGTTCACTGCTGAAGAGAGGGAATACATGATTCTGCAACATGTATTCCATCTGATCTTTATATATTTTTTTCTGTAAATATAAACAAAAATTATTTTTAAAGAGTTCCAAATTTAATAATCTCAAATGCCTAATAGATACGCTCAGTGTTAAAAATGACTACTGATGTTAAAACATATATTTACTCTGGTTCTTTGAACCCCAAAACCCACATCCAATTTTCTTATTTTCAAACTTTACCATAAAAAACACACAGAATACGTTTTTTAACCTTTTTGCATTATTTGTTTAAAGAAAGCAATCGCAACAAGTCTTAGCAGCAATGGTATTTGAGTAATGGTGCGTGGTTAATTTTATTCCTTACCTTATAAAACTTTTAAAAATCCCTGGAAAGGTTCTAAATGAACATAACATACATTGAGAAACATCCTTCTTTCAAGGTAATAATCTGAATATCTAAAAAGATATTTGTATTTTCTAAAGAGTAAGATGTTTTAAAGAAGAGTTCATTGAATTGCATATTAAATTAATATTAAAACTGATAAGTACTAATAAACCTAAGAAGACTAATGAGACATGAGAACTAAATGCAATGTGGGATCCTGGGATGAATCATGGACTCAAAAGGACATTAGTGGGAAATCTTATAAAATGTGAAACGGGTCTGTAGATTAGTTTATAATATCAATATTAATTTCCGGGTTTTGAGAATTATGGCATAGCTATCTAAGATGTTAACATTAGGGGAAGCTGGGTGAAGAGTAATGAGAAATATTTTTACAATTTTTTTGTAAATCTAAAATTATCCTATCTATATATATAAAAAGCCAGGGTCCGTAATGTCCACAACAACTGAAGGCTCAGCTGAACACTGGAAGTCAGTGCTGGGTTGCACTGGTGACCCAGCACTGACTGCAGCTGGTGCCAGCAGAGCGACCCAGCACTGACTGCAAAGGGGGCTGCAGATCAGGCCTGCAGAGAGAGAGGCAGGGTCTCATCTGCAGCCTCAGTGGCAGCTGTTGATCAGCCATTGCCTCTCTCTTTCTCTCCAGGCTTCGCCAGCAGCCGAGCCTCTGTTACTCTGGCCTCTGCAGGGGGGCTGCTGATCAGTCCCACCTCCTTGATCAGGCCCAGAGATAGGCCTGGAGACCCTGAATGGCATAGAAACCAACCAGTCAGAACCAAATCTGGGTGAAGTGTGAGAAGCCAATGGCTGCTTAGGAGGCAGATCTTTTGACGCTGACTGGCATAGAAACCAACCAATCAGAACCTAATCTGGGTGAACTACAAAGACAGAACCTATGGTGGGGGTTGAGGAGGGGTTTTAAGGGCAACAGCTGTTTGGTGTAAGGTGTAAGAAAGCAGTTCAATTTTTTAATGACCGGTTTGGCAGTATAGTGCATATGGCTGGCTATCATTCCAGATATAGGGATTATGTGTTTTTGTCTGCCAAGAGCATCTCCTCCTGCTAAAAAAGGCTTCTGCCACCCCACCACCATTTAAGCAATCCTATCGTATATAATCTATCTATACTAAGAAAACTGTAATATGCTAATTAGACCAGGTCGACCAGCCATCTTTGGGACGTCTGACTTACTTCTGGACAAAGCCATGGTGGTGGGGGCCCAGGCAGAGGCAGTTAGGGGCAATCAGGCCAGCAGGGGAGGGCAGTTGGGGGTGAGATCAGATTGGCAGGGGGTTGGGGCAATCAGGCTGGCAGGGGAGCGCGGTTGGGGGTGAGATCAGGTCGGCAGGGTAGGGCCATTGAGGGTGAGATCAGGCCAGCAGGGGAGGGCACTTGGGGGTGAGAGCAGGCCGGCAGGGGAGATCAGTTAGGGGTGATCAAGCAGGCAGAGGCAGTTGGGGGTGAGATCAGGCCGGCAGGGGAGGGCCATTAGGGGTGATCAGGCAGGCAGGCAGAGAGGTTAGGGGTAATCAGGCAGACAAGCAGTGAGGTTAGGGGCAATCAGGCAGGCAGACACAGTTAGGGGTGATCAGGCAGGCAGACAGGTGAGCAGTTAGGAGCCAGTGGTCCCAGATAGCGAGAGGGTGCAGGATGGGCTGAGGGAACCCTCTCCCACTCCATGCATTGGGCCACGAGTCCTATCTAATAAAAGAGAAACATGGTAATTAGCGTACAACCGCTACCCTTCCCATTGGCTAATCAGGGCGATATGCAAATTTAACTGCCAGCCAAGATGGCGGCCGGCAGCCAGGCAGTTTGAAACTAACATGAGGCTTGTTTGTTTTAGTGACGGAGGAAACCAACGTTCCCCGCCTGCCTTGCCGGCCTCTGAGCCTGCAGTTTGAAACATTGTAACAAATATAGAAGCTAAACAAAACCCCAGAAACCTGCTTTCAGTGAGCCGGGATCTTAAAGCTAGAGTTATACATTGTTTCGATTATAGAACCCAAACAAACCAGATACCTGCTTTCAGCAGCAGAGGCCTCAGAGCTGGAGCCAGCGCTAAAGCTGGCCCAGAATTTAAAAAAAAAAGAAAAAAAGGAGCAGTTGGGAGCTTCAGCCCTCAGCCCCTCACCCAGACTGGCCAGGCACCCCAGTGGGGACCCCCACCCTGAAGGGTGTGTGACCAGCTGCAAACAGCCATCATCCCCTCACCCAGGCTGGCCAGGCACCCCAGTGGGGTCCCCCACCCTGATCCAGGACACCCTTCAGGGCAAACCAGCCAGCCCCACCCATGCACCAGGCCTCTATCCTATATAGTAAAAGGGTAATATGCCTCCCAGCACCGGGATCAATGGAGCCGCGAGGCCTCCCAGCACCAGGATCCGCGGAGCCGAGAGGCCTCCCGGCACCGGGATCAGCGTGACAGGGGGCAGCGCCCAAATCCCCTGATCGCCCTGCGGCTCTGTGTGTGACAGGGGGCAGGGCCACAACCTCCCTATCTGCCCTGCTCTGTTCGTTACATGGGAAGGCGCCCCAACCTCCTGATCAGCCCTGCTCTGTGCCTGATACGGGGGAGCTCCCCAACCCCCTGATCGCCCTGCGGCTCTGTGTGTGACAGGGTACGGTGCCCCAACCCCCTGATGGGCCCTGCTCTGTGTGTGACAGGGGGCAGTGCCCCAACCCCTGGATTGGCCCTGCTCTGTACGTAACAGGGGGTGGCGCCGCAACCTCCCCATAGACCCTGCCTTGAGTGTGACGGGGCGGTGCCCCAACCCCCCAATTGGCCCTACCCTGAGCGTGACTGAGGGTGGCATCGCAACCTCCCAATCCGCCCTGCTCTGTGCATGACAGGGGGCGGTGCCCCAACTCCCCAATTGGCCCTGCTCTGAGCCCGACCAGGGGCTGCACCTAGGGATTGGGCCTGCCCTCTGCCACCCGGGAGCAGGCCAAGCCAGCAGGTCGTTATCTCCCGAGGGGTCCCAGACTGCGAGAGGGCACAGGCCAGGCTGAGGGACCCCCCCTTCCCCCCGAGTGCACAAATTTTTGTGCACCGGGCCTCTAGTATATAATAAAAGCCTAATATGCAAATCAATTGAACAGCAGAACAAACGGTCACTATGATGTGCACAGACCACCAGGGGGTAGATGCTCAATGCCCGAGCTGCCCCCAGCCCACAAGCCCCAGGCCAGCCAAGGCGGGTGCCAGTGGGGGTTTTCGATCACCCTGCCAGTCGCCCCAAAGATTGCCTCTGATCACCAACCAGGCTTAGGGACCCTACCCATGCACAAATCTCATGCACCGGACCTCTAGTTTAATAATAAAGTTAAAACAAAAAATCTGATCTGAGAGTTCAGCCTTTTATACAAATAATTACTTTATGAACTAAGAGAAGGATGTCTGGACAGGTATAGTAAAGCTGAAAGATATACAAATATACCCATAAATTAATCAATTCAATACAGCACCATATGGAACAAGGCTACTAGGAGTTGGGTGTACTGTGACCAAGTATTTACTTAAAATTTGAATAGGTATTATTTATTAACTTTAAAATGAAAACAAATTTCAGATCATATTTATGAAGAAGTCAGACATAATGTGTACAATTAAGTTGAAGATTCTAAAGATAAATCTAATCCTGTCAGTCATTCATTCCTAAAAAATTTGTCACAGAAGCATGATGTTCCTCGACTGCAAATGCATTCATGTATATAAATTTCCTTAAAGGTCAATTATTTGAGAAGAAAAAAGTCCACTACTTTACAATTACCTTGCAACATTAAAAAAACCAAAAAACCTCACATTAAAAGAAGTACTTTTAGCTCATGCAACAAAAGAAAATATAAATTGAACATCATTTGAAAATCATATAAAATGTATACTTCAAAGGACACCATCAAGAAAGTGAAAAAGGTAACCCACAAAATGGCAGAAAATATTTACAAATCACATATATGAAAAAGGTAGAGAACTCTATAATTCAACAACAACCTAATTAAAATTAGACAAAAGATTTATATAGACATTTCTCCAAAGATATACAATGGCCAATAAGCAAGATTTTCAATTATGCCCTAGCTGGTTTGGTTCAGTGGATAGAGCGCCAGCATGTGGACTGAAGGGTCCTGGGTTCTATTCCGGTCAAGGGCACATGCTCGGGTTGCAGGCTCGATCCCCAATGTGGAGTATGCAGGAAGCAGCCAATCAATGATTCTCTCTCATTATTGATATTTCTATCTCTCTCTCTCTCCCCCTTCCTCTCTGAAATCAATAGAAATATATTTAAAGATTCTCAATTACCATTCACTAGAGGCTCAATGCACGAAATTCGTGCAAAGGGCTCCAAGGGCCGAGCTCCAGCCTTCGCAGAATCAGCCCCAGCTTCACCCCAAGGACGGCCGGTCCAGTTAATATATTACGCTTTTATTATTATAAATTAGCCATCAGGGTAATGTAAATTAAAAGCATAATGAGAAAACATCAGACACCAACTGGGATGGCTATAAAAAAAAAAGGACAGATAATAAGTATTGGTGAGGACTTAGCAACTGGGAACCTCATACACTGCTGGTGAAAATACAAAATGATATAGCCAGACACTTTGGAAAAGTGGTAATTTCTCAAAATATGACCTGCAATTTGACTTCTAGGTTTGTATTACCCAAATGAAATAAAAACATACGTCCACACACAAATGTATACACACACACACACACACACACACACACACACAAATGGGTACACAAATGTTTATAGCTCCATTGTTCAGTCAAAAGTGGAAACAATGTAAAGGTACATCAAACGATAAGCAAGTAAGTAAAATGGGGTATGTCAATACAACTCCTGGGATATTATTTGGCAATAAAAAGGAACAGAAGTACTGTGACCTGTCACAATATGAACTTTGAAAATATTCATGCTAAGTTTAAAAAGCCACTCATAAAGGACCAAATGTTGAATCACTCCATTTACATGAATGTCCAGAGTGGGCAAAATTCATAGAGAAGACATAAAATAGGTTAGCCGTATCTTAGGGTCGGGAGGTCTCAGAGAAAATGGAGAGTAACTGCTAATAAGATTCCTTTTTAGAATTCTGTGAATATAAGAAAACCACTGAACTGTAAACTTTAAATGGGACAATTTTATGGTATGTGAATTGTATCTTAATAAAACTATTATTAAACTGTGTACACACCCACAAAAAGAAATACCTTTAGAAGTATTTCAGCTAAAGAGCCAATCATATGCAGGGCTCCATCTTTTTTTCGAGGATCAGCATTTGGTTCTGTAAGAATCTGGTAGCAAAATCCCATAGTCTTTTGCAGTACCTAAATTAAAAAGAGAAAATCTTAAAAAACATTAATGACAAAAATGACTTATATACGGCTAACATTAAAAGCAGGATATCTGGTTTGAGCATAAACCTATGAACCAGAATGTCACACAGTTCGATTTCCGATCAGGGCACATGCTCGGGTTGCTGGCTGAATCCCAGTGTGGAGGGTGCAGGAGGCAGCCAATCAATGATTCTCATCATTGATGTTTCTATCTCTCTCACCCTTCCTCTCAAAAACCAATTAAACATATTTAAAAAAACCAAACACATTAATATAAAAAAAGCAGTGTATCTGAACAAATTTTAAATATTAAAATTCATAAAAGCAAAAGCATTCCACACATTAAATAACCTACCTCTTTTCTCTTACTACATGCAGTAAACAAAAGTGTCTGGGCAGCAGTGGTAGGAGAAATGAAATCTTCAAAGACATCTAGAGAATAAATTTAAATACAGAAAACAGTAATTTCAATTTCTTCAACAAACACTGCCACATAATTTATAAATGATGTTGGTAAAACAAAACAAAACAAAACAAAACAAAACAAAACAAAAACCCACAAGAGGAGGGTGGGGGACCTTAAAATTTTGCTATATTTTGACACAAAGTGAACTTGAAAATGAACCCAATTACCAATATAATTGTGTGAAAGCCTAATTCCATGTCATTTCTGTACAAGATAAATGATATTAATCCATCAATTTATACTAATGATTATTTTCTTTTACAAACTACTACTATGAGAATTCACAATAGGGTCACAAAAATACAAACTACTAAAAGTACTTAAGATTCTTTGATTGCAACTTCATAAGAGATCTGGAAGCAGAGAATTCTTCTAAGCCATGCCCAGATTCCTGACTCCCAGAAACAGATAATTAATGTGTTATTTTAAGCCAATAAAAAAACACAACACAAAAAAATAAGATTTTGCTAGGAAGAAGGACTAATACTCAAATTAGTCAAATTACAATCTTTAGTTCCATGGAGACTTCCTGTGACCCTAGCTTCCAGTACGCATCTTCTCAATTCGCACATATATGATTAACTGACATGGGATCCAAAAGTATAGTTTAGACCAGCGATGGCAAACTTTTCAGTCCTCACGGACCATCAGTGGTCTGCGGACCACCGGTTGGAGACTGCTGGTTTAGACACTCAATGTTAAGGTATAATCTTGAATTTTTAATAGTTTTGGAATGTGCTAGAAGCACATCTAGTAATTTAACACTACTGTATTTCTCTGCTAAAAATTATCAAATGCCATAATTAATGCATAGCCCCCCTCTCAAAGGTCTAAAGCAGTTATTTGTAACCGCGGTGCCGCAATAATTTTTGAAATATTAAATACCCGAATTCTTTTCCCTTATATTGTCAAATAAAAAAATGATAGTAGCCAACACAACAATAGGCATCTGGTGTAAATGAATCAAAATTATACCTGTTTTTTGGGCAGATCGGTAAAAAATATATATTAAGGAGTGCCACATAATTTTAGTAATTAATTTATGTGTGCCATGAGATGAGAAAAGCTGAAAATCTCTGGTCTAACCAATGAATAGATTATACTGAAACACCAAAGATTTTTTAGTGCAAAAGGTAAGAGGCCTTGATACCACCTAGGTTTACTATATACAACCTTAACTGACATTTAATTTCTTAAAAAAGTAAAAATTCCTTACCAAACTTCATGCGTATATATTCATAAGGGTCTTCTTGCCAAAGTTCTTCATCAGCATCTGTATAGCACATCAATGGAAAAATAACATCTTGGATAATGCCCTGTAATTTAAAAGTTAAGAAAGTAACAACCTGGAGTTAGTACTGAAATTTAAGCCTTCAAATTTCTGTTAAGTGATAAAAAAAAGTAACCTTATAATCTATAATATGTGTTTTTTAAAAGCTTAGTATCAAACTTTACATTCTCAGATCAACTATCAATGTACATATTTTTCCTTCTATGCAACAAGTAATTATGAAATAAAACATGAATATAGATAACAATTAAGTATTCTGAGACAATACAACATGAAATTTTAGTCCATGAAATCCTACAGTTCTAAAGCAAAAAAAAATCACTCATAAAAATATGTAAGCCAATTATCCTCACAATTAACCCGGCAAAATAGTCCTTTGCTTGTTCCAAATTACATATATAAAATATTAACTAATCATAATCCAACAGTAAGAACAGTTTTAGATGAAAAGATATTATGAATATTAACAAAATCCCTTTTATAAATTTATGCAAGGTGTTTTATCTCGTTTTCCTAATCTACTCTAAAAACAATGACCAGAATTACAATAAGCAACACAAGTCAACAAAAAATGCATGTTAAACCCTTATGATAATTAATGTTATTTCCATTATATTTTCTAGAAAATATTTCAGATAGAAAATTATTACTTGTATATGAGGCTTCAGGTTCTTCCAGGTGAGAGCATGAGAAACTCCTTGATTAATATAATTTAATGTCTGTTGCAAAACTCGAGGAGCCATATATTGCTTCTCCTTGTACTGATATAATACCTTCAATAAAACCTTTTAACAAAAAACAAAATTTAAATAGAAAATTAACAACTTAAAAGCCAGCAAAATCATCTGACACTTACCTTAATATCCAGGTAACCATCACAAAATCATCCTAATACATAAAAACCCTGGATCCCTCACAACCGGAGGCTCGACTAACCGGAAGTCATTTCTGCAGTCAGCGCTGGGTTGCCCTGGCGACCCAGCACTGACTGTTAGGGCTGTAGGCTCGGTGACCCAGCACTGATTGCTGAGGGTGCTGCGAATCAAGCCCGAGAGAGGCCTGAAGAGAGAAGCAGGGTCTGATCCGTAGCCTCTGTGGTAGCTGTTAATCAGCACTTGCCTTGCTCTTCCTCTCCAGCAGCCGTGCTTTTCTGATCAGGCCCCCTTGATAGGCCCAGAGATGCTGACTGGGATACAAACTCACCAATCAGAACCAAATCCAGATGAACTGTGAGGAGCCAATGGCTGCCTTAGAGGTGGAGCTTTTGGCACTGACTGGCATAGAAACCAACCAATCAGAACCAAATCGGCCAGCAGAAGAGGGCACTTGGGGAGGAGATCAGACCTGTAGGTGAGAGCAGTTGGGGGTGGAGATCAGGCCTGCAGGGGTAGGCGGCTGGGGACGAGATCAGGCAGCAGAGGAAGCCAATTGAGGGTGAGATCAGGCCAGCAGAAGAGCAGTTAGGTGTTAATCAGGCCGGCAGAGGAGCGGTTAGGGGGTGATCAGGATGGTAGGCAGAAGCGGTTAGGGGCAATCAGGCAGGCGAGCGGTTAGGAGCCAGCAGTCCCTGATTGTGAGAGGGATGTTTGACTGCCAGTTTAGGCCCGATCCCTCTGTGAGATCGGGCCTAAATTGGCAGTCAGACATCCCCCTGAGGGGTCTCAGATTGGAAAGGGTGCAGGCTGGGTGAGGGACACCCTGCAGCCTCCCCCACCCCCACATGAATTTTGTGCACCGGGCCTCTAGTAAGCATATAATTTAAAGAAGAAAGTAATTCTTATTTTATTTTTTTAACTGAACAAGCAACCTGGGTATGTGCCCTGACCAAGAATCAAACCTGCCACTTTTTGGTGTACGGGATAATGCTCCAAATAACTGAGCCACACCGGCCAAGGTGAATAAAACAATCTTTTAAATTATATATTGGAGAACCACATTTATAGGCATTTAAATAAACAAACTGAAGTAATAATATGTCAAAGGACTAGTTTCTGATTAAATAAAAAAGAAGGGAAAACCATATGCTACTTAATGAACATACCACAATACTGTGAAACATCCCTCCCTATATTGTTAAAATCACCCTCTAGAAAAACCTTACCCAAACTAATCACCTACCTATTTAATTTCTGGCAATAGTTTTTATTCTACTTCACATTTTAGAAAAGCGATTGTCAAAATCTGGGTCACCAACCTTTCAAAGGGTAAGAATGCAAGCCCTGATGGATTTGGCCTGCAGACCCAAGGTTCAATCCTCCTCCCACTTTGGGGTCCGTGTGAGAGGCAACTAATTTTTGTGTCACTCTCAAGTCAATGTTTCTCCCTTCCCCCACCTCCTCCTCCCTCTCTTCCACTACATTTGAGAATCAATGGAAAACATATTCTTGAGTGAGGATTTTTTAAAAAACCTAAATCATGGTACAAAAGTATTGGCAGCAAACTTTCTGTACCTAACATGAATAAAGGAAGTGGCACTGAAGTGTATTAGCAGTCATCATATTCTTTACAGCCATATAATTACAGAACACGCTTTCCTTAAGAATGTCCTTTTAAAAAAAAGTTCTTAATGAACAAGAAATATTAAAAATTGTTAGAAGAAAAGCTGAAATAGTAGCTTCTTCCATCAAATACTATCATATACTTGAAAGAAAAACTAATAAACTAAATATGGTTATTTAGACTGAGTGTATGGCATATTTCTTTTTTCTCAAAAAATGAACAAAACAGCCCAGCCAGCATGGCTCAGTGGTAGAGCATCGACCTATGAACCAGGAGGTCACGGTTCAATTCCTGGTCAGGGCATATCCCTGGGTTGCAGACTCGATCCCAGTGTGGGGGATGCAGGAGGCAGCCGATCAATGATTCTCATTCATCACTGATGTTTCTCTCTCTCTTCTCTCTCTCTCAAACCTCTAAAAGTATAGAAAAAAAGAAACTACACCTTTGGGTCCTAGCCGGTTTGGAGAGAGCACTGGCCCGCAACTAAAGGGATCGGGTTCAATTCTGGTCCAGGGCATGCACCTTGGTTGCAGTTTTGATCCCTAGCCCTGGTTGGGACTCATGCAAGGCAACTAATCAAAGGGTCTCTCTTACATCGATGTTTTTTTCACTCTCTCCCCCCTTCCTTTCCACTTTCTCTAAAAAAAACCAATGGAAAAAATATCCTTGGGTGAGGATTAACAAAACAACAAAAAAAGTTAATAGGTTTATCATTTTATTATTGTTTTTACTCTTTTTAAAAAAATATATTTTCATTGATTTCAGAGAGGAAGGGAGAAGGGGAGAGATATAGAAACATCAATGATGAGAGAGAATCATTGATAGGCAGCCTCCTGCACACCCCACACTGGGGATCGAGCCAACCCAGGCATGTGCTCTTGACCGGAATCAAACCCAGGACCCTTCAGTCCGCATGCTGATGCTCTATCCACTGAGCCAAACCAGCTAGGGCATTTTTACTCTTTATTAAAGCCTTACACCAGGACATGTTTTTTCTTTTTGCTTTTTAATTGATTTTAGATAGAGAGGAAGGGAGAGGGGGAGAGTGAAACATCAATGTGAGATACTGATTGGTTCCCTCCCACACATGCCCTGACCGGGAATTAAACCTTCAACCCTTCGGTGCAAGGGACAATGCTCCAATCAACTGAGCCACATTGGCCAGAGCTTTATAATTTTATTTTATTTTCTAAGAAAATAAGCATGGCCCCAGCCGGTTTGGCTCAGTGGATAGAGCATCAGCCTACGGACTGAAAGACCCCAGGTTTGATTCCAGTCAAGGGCATGTACCTTGGTTGCGGGCACATCCCCAGTGGGAGGTGTGCAGGAGGCAGCTGATCGATGTTTCTCTCTCATCGATGTTTCTATCTATCCCTCTCCCTTCCTCTCTGTAAAAAAATCAATAAAATATATTTTAAAAAAAAGAAAAGCATGTCTGAAATTAATCTAATAATGACATGTTTCTACTTAGAAAAATTATCTTAGACTTACTTGCTGGACACCAACAGCAAAAGCTTTCAGAAATACTTCAGCAAATTCATTATACTCCTTGGAAACATTGCCAGGGCTTCCATATCTAAAAGAACATTAAAATGTTGATTGTTTCTTTATAATACTTTATATCAACACTTATAAAACCAAAAGCCTGAAAAATAAATCATCATGTATCTGGGAGCTTACCTTTCAAAAAGCCGTGCTAAAATATGTAAAGCCCACTTCTTACATTTCCACCATGGTAACTCAGGTCTATCATCTTCTTCAACTTGAAGTGTTTCCTTATTTAAAGAGACATTTATTTAATGATGGCTATAGTAAGAGATGATACATTCTAAGAGAAATAATATGAGGCGAGAACAGATTCTCAAAAACATGAATTCTCCTCTAATGTTGGCCTTTCATATTAAAAAGGTAGATTTGAAAAAGTACTAACCCTTATTTAAATATAAGAGGCACTTCCAGTGCTTCAACTACCTATTTATGAAGGATATGCTTTTTAAAATTCTGTTAGGTGCCCTCCCTCTTGAGGTCATGCCTACCCCTTTCTCCTCCTTTCCCCCCCACCCTCCCCACCGCTGCATCACCTTTGCCTTTCCCTCTCTTAAGTTCCAAGAAAACTTCTTTTGTTTCTGTAACTTGTTTCCTGAGCCTACTCAGCCCAGATGGCTCACTTCTACTACCTCCATACTTTCTCTCATAAGTTGGGGTGGGGAAAAAAAGTTTTTTAAAAGCTTAAGTCCATTTTAGTCAAGACCCAAATAAAGTCAAGGTCATGACAAGTTGCTTAATCAAAACCTGCATAGTTCAAATCAAAAGGCACAAGAAACTCCATTTCAGACCTCTAATTTCAGAAATATTAGTATAAATACACAAAGATAATTACATATATATATGTGTGATTGCAAAGACTTGTGTAAGACCATTCATAGCAGCTTTAACTAATACTAAAATTCTGAAACCACTAAGATGTCCATCAACTAGTATATCCAACTTGCATATAAATGATAGTACATCCATATAATGGAATACTACTTAGCAATAAAAAGGAACATGGGGGCGGGGGGACCACTGGGGAAAAAGGAGACATATATAAAACTTTAGACCAGGGGTGGGCAAACTTTTTGACTCGAGGGCCACAATGGGTTCTTAAACTGGACCGGAGGGCCGGAACAAAAGCATGGATGGAGTGTTTGTGTGAACTAATATAAATTCAAAGTAAACATCATTACATAAAAGGGTACGGTCTTTTTTCCCCCAATAGTTTTATTCATTTCAAACGGGCCGGATCCGGCCTGCGGGCCGTAGTTTGCCCACGGCTGCTTTAGACAATAAATAAATTAAGCCAAAGAAGGTACATACAAAACAATTACTTTCAGCTTATAAATTCTTCCCCGTTCACAGATGTCTGCAAATTATTAAGCTAAAAATTTAGCTATGGACTTTAAAAATATATATAATTTATATGTAACATTGTATTAGTTTAAGGTATATAACATAATGATTTGATATATATATATAGGTTGTTCCAAAAAAAGTATACACCCTTTAACAGCTGATAACTCAATTTTCACTCCTTTTCAGGTATAACTGATTTGAAATAATGGGCAAAGCCAGACTAAGCTTTGAACAAAGAAAATTTATCCTAAAGACCACTAGACTTTTAAGGGAATACATAAAAGATAAAGTTTAGGTACAAAACTGTAAACAGTTAAAAAATTAAGGGTGCACCGGAGCCGGTTTGGCTCAGTGGATGGAGCATTGGCCTGTGGACTGAGGGGTCCCAGGTTCGATTCCGGTCAAGGGCATGTTCCTGGGTTGCGGGCACATCCCCAGTGGGGGATGTGCAGGAGGCAGCTGATCGATGTTTCTCTCTCATCGATGTTTCTAACTCTCTATCTCTCTCCCTTCCTCTCTGTAAAAATCAATAAATATATATATATATAAAAATTAAGGGTGCACAAATGCCCAACTAAAGGAATCTTCAAGTCTGAGATTCCACTGCTTCACAGTATTAGCAGTGCCTGGACCAATGAATGATCATCAGTTTGAAAAGAGGCACTAACCAAAAAAATTATTCATTTCTGTAGATTCTTTTTGAAGTTTGAAAATGAACTGTATGTCAATAAACACTGATTTTATAATCATTCAGTGTATATACATTTTGGGGGGACACCATGTATGTATATATTGTGAAACGATTACCACAGTAATCATTAGGAAGGTGGTCAAAAGGCACAAATTTCCAGTTATAAGTTCTGGAAATGTAATGTATAGCATGATGATGATAGTTAACAATATTGTATTATATATGTGAAGGTTGCTAAGAGCAGAGATCTTAAAAGTTTACATAAAAAATTTATAACTATGTGAGGTGATACATGTTATAAGCTCTTAATTCAAGACCGAGAAGATAAGAAACAGAAGAATTAGGATGAAATTAACAGGTATATAAACATTTAAACAATATATAAAATAACCCTTTACAAATTTTTACTTTGTATATGCACATATGTAAACAATTAAGTTTTGTCTATCTCGAAAAATTTGCATAGTCAATTATGTAAGCTTATAAAGAATGTTACAGGAAATGGCAGTTAAAATTCTCAAAAGATAACTAAATATTTATTTTTAGTAATATAAGAGGACACAGACTTACATTAGGTACATCTCTGTTTACAACAGTCTTTAAAATTTCTATCCATTCTGTCAGGTTCTGTTGGTTTATCAGCTCCAGTGGTAGTGTATACTAAATTAAAATCAAAATTAATTATATTTAAAATCCTTACAAAAGAGAATTTCACTTCCTTTTATTCTTCACAAAACCTACAAAAAGTATTTCCTTCAATACATATTTCTTGTTTTTTGTACATAGGCAAATTTGATTAGTTACCTACGCTGGGAAATTGTGGCAATGACAGTGGCATCCTTGTCTTACTGCCAAATTACTGGGAATATATTCTATTTTCACCATAAGGTATGATATTTATTGTGGATTTCTAGTGAACATTTTTTCATCAAGTCAAGGAAATTTTGATTCCAGGATTCTTAGAATTTTACTTAAACCAGGAATGACATCCTCTTTCCATATAAGAATTAACCACAAAATTGATTTCTTACTGTTAATACATTCTTGCATTCCTGGAATAAATCCTCTCTCTTAATAGGCTTATAAAATCAATATCCTATTTAGGATTTTAGGACATTTTCCAAAGTAAGAAGGGGCTCAACTTCTATACATGGTATGCTAAATCTCAAAAAATTCATTGCAATGATAAACATTCTGTCCTATGCCCTAAAATAATTTACAAAAAGAACTTATTTTTAATCTAAAAGATGGGGAATAGAAGCAGTACTAACATTGTCTATTTAAATCACTTAAAAAAAATTGCATAAGGAGTCAAATGGAATGGTGGTATTAAAGTGCCCTTAGGTTTTAGATATTGTCTTTAAAGATCTCGCAAAGACGTGCAAAATCCAACCAAACAATGGAATGAGACAGTTATAATTTCAGTGAAGGTAAAGTCATAGGTATATTTAAATGCAATTTAAAAAGTAAGGAAGGCATGAATTGAACAAAAAGTCCTGGTAGATGAAATGAATCCTTTTATGGCTATATGGCATAAAAAGAACAAGAATTTTAATCCTGATAAAAACTGTTTCTTAACTAATTACCCGCCACTGAGAATACAGACACAACCATTTCCTTAGCTTATAACATTGTCCCAAAAAGATTTATTAGGACAAAATACAAAAATAATGAGGCTCATTATGTGCCAGTCAAGCCCACAGTTAGTATTTTTGTGTAACATAAGCTTAAGAATAGATTTTGTAGTTATTGGGACAATCTATGTATATGTGGATTATCAGAGTACTTGTTAGATGTAAACTATAATCAAGTAACTTATTTTCAAACTTGTAAAAGGTACAAGAAAAATTTACTAATTTTGTAAATAGTGTTGGATGGTTTAAGACAACTTAAGATTGATCACTTATAATTTAAGATTTATTAGATTTGTTTGTATATTTGGGTAAGTATGCTTGGTTAGAACTTTTAACATATTTATAATTTTGGCAACTTATATTTGACTAGCAAATCATTCTCTTAATCTAGATACACTGACTTTTTATAGTTAAAAACTGCTTTATAAAAATTACCTGAACAAGAGCATAGAAGATCTTAAAAATTTGTTTCTGAATGAGAACAGACTGATCAGACTGATCAGAAAGAAGCTGAATAAAACGGTCCTTTAGCACTGGCAGGAAATGCTGCATTGCTGCTACCAATGGAGTCCGTTCCTCTGGTTTCTTGTACCTTTAGGTAAGAATACAAACTATTTCTATAAGAATTTATTTTACAATTTTATTTATAGATAACATATCAATTTAAACTACTGGTTTGTTCACACAAATATAAGCAAATAGAAGAAAAACTTACTATGCAACCAAAAGCAACTTTAGAAAAACCTCAAATAATAATAGGATATCTAAAATTTACTCAGCATTATCATGAGGTCTAATCTTTAAGGCCCCATTAGTATCCTCTTTTCTATAGCTGAAGAAACTGAGGCATAGACAAGTTAGATATGTTTCCCAGTATACACATCTAGGTATGAACCTTAACAGTCAAGAACCAGGGTTTGTACTGTTAACCACTTCACTATGCTATTTCTAATTCTGAATACTGTATAACTGAGGAGGTACAATGGTTTGCTTTTAAACTTAACAGTTGATAGATATAAAAGCAATCATATTATTATCATCCTTAAGTAATTTATATACCAAGAGTATTAACACAGAGTGGCATCTATAATGCAAAAATACTCTAAAAGCGTTATAAACCAAAAATTTTTTTAAAATAACTCATCTGGCAACAAAAACCGACCTCAACAGGCTATTTATGATTTCATTTATTCCATTTGGAGAGACTTTTCACATACTTCATTGCTAATACATTAATAATACTATTGAGTGCTAGTACAGATTTCAATAGGAACATTACATAACATTTATTATGTGAATCTTTCTAAAATCCAAAAAAATCCTGAATTCTGAATCACTTTTTGCTCCCAAGATCATGTGTAAAGCATTGCTGACCTAACTAAGATATTTTCACATACAGATTCTTTAGCATTTTAACTGTATTGTTAAAAAGTTTGATGCTTTATTTCAAAAAAGAAATTTGAAACATCGAATATTTAAATTAGGTTATTTAAAAGGCTTTAAATAGGCTTTCTTTTACCAGAATCGTTTTATCTACTGGTAGACTTTTTGAAGAAGGGAAATGTATTTAAGAATTGCATATCTGAGCACCTTTTTAAAAGGTAAAGGTAGACACTCTTAAAAGGCTAGATTTTTTTAGCTATTTATTGGGGAAAATGAGAACTGAGGTCAATTGCCAAGAATAAAAAATACCAAGAGAAATGTTCACACAAATAATGACTGAGACTGTTAAACAATAAAACTGACCGATTATCTGCTGAGAACACAATTGAAAAGTTATCCCTCCATTTCTGAGTCAATATAACAATTTATATAAAAGGAAGCCATTTGCACTTTCCATAAGACCCCAAAGTTCCTGAATATGTGACACCAATAAAAGCCGACTACAAGGCTACAGTGTGTCCATCTGGTGAGCTATGTTGATAGAAAATACTTAAATACTAGCTCATAACTTTTGTTAAAAAAATAAAATACAAAACCTTCAATGGTTCATCAGTATCTAAAATATCACATACAAATTTCCCATCATGACATTCAAAACCCTCTTTAACACAGTTCCAATTTACAAGTCCAAAACTACCCCCAAATTCTCAACAGAAAGTATCCATACCATAGTAGTCTCCTAACTACCCACTAAAGACAGTATCTCATTTCCACCTCTGTACCTTTCTTTTTGTTCACACTATTCCATATAGTATGACATGCCTTCCTCTTCAAATGCTCCTTCTGTGCTCCTTCAACTGACAAGTTTTTCCTGAGGATCTATGCTCCTGAAGGCCACCACAACTTCCAATTTCTCCATGAATTTTCTTAGAACTGCTTCAGTCCACACAGATCCCTTGTGAACACCTTGTGCTCCACAATCAAACACTAGCTGAAAATGAACTGGAAATCCAATATTGCAGCAGCCTCCTGTCTCCCATTTTTAAAAATCCCTGTCAAATTCTCTCCTGCTATAATTATAGGATAGGAGAGACTTGAACTTCCTCAGACAACGACAGCTTATTATTGTTATTCTCTCTCATTTTAGTCACTCACTTACCAGAACTACAACTGGCACTCTGACAGAGGTTGGAGCAACAGCTGGAACATTCCTTAGCAGAAAGATGGGTAGCTGGTGGAAACACAAGAAAACACCAGTACCAATGCTGTAAATGGTATATTTCTCTCCTGCTCAGAACAAAAGCAGCAGTTCATGAGCTACTTTGAATTGAGACCCAAAAGGGTATCGTAGGCTAAATACAAGCCCCAGAATTAAAGGGCTCACAATGGCATCTGTGTAGCTTTTAGGACTGGAAATAAAGCCACCGTCATGGTGTAAGTGTCCTTCAATCCTTCCTCATAATTTTCTAATGTCGAAACTTTAATGTGCCTATCAATTTCATTATTTTCACCACACCACTAGAGAAAACCCCTTTTACATTGGACTTACTACTTTTAGTGCTATATACCTCAACTTCCACGGTTAGACTTTTTTTTTCCTGATCCCTAAACCCAGATCTAAGATGATTCCTTGGTCTAAAAGAATGTCTTACTGATACTGATAGGAACTATAATTTGCTCAAATATGCAACCACTGAAATAGGTGATTGTGATTCCCTCAAAACACAATAATTAAAACTAGTCATATGAAATTCCAACATATTCTTCTTAAAGAATTAGAGGTAGGTTCTTGTAAGTTATCAAGATCCTAAATTAAGATAAAGATTCACAGAAAGCCAGAATAGAGCTCTAATGCTCAATGTACTCTGATTCACTTCACATTTTAAAAAAGCCTTTATCTGCCCATATTGAAGAGTTAGCGCTCAGTTTTTGAATAGGAAACAAGCCCGCCTGGCTTGGCTCAGTGGTTGAGCATCAACCTATGAACCAGGTGGTCCCAGTTCAATTCCTGGCCAGGGCACATGCCCAGGTTGCAGGCTCGATCCCCAGTCAGGGGCATGCAGGAGGCAGCCAATCAATGATTCTCCCTCATTATTGATGTTTCTATCTCTCCCTCTCCCTTCTCTGAAATAAAAACATATTTTAAAAAATGAACAAGGAGACATATGATTAAGAAAAAAGGGCACAAGTAGTTTATTAGTTGAACGAACAGAGGATACTACAGAAATAAAATAAGAATGCTATTTCAAAAAGAAAATACTGAATTCAAATAACATAATTCACTAATTTTAATGTATAAAATTTCCAAACCTGCCCACTTCTCAAAACTATATAGGAATTGAAAGAGACACTTACTCATAATTTTTCACAAGCTGATAAAGGCAAAGAAGAATTCCTAGCCAACAAGCACTGTTATCAGACTGAAGATAAAAGCCAATTTTGTCCACAATGGCAGTCCAGCGGCTTGGGTAATCATGTTTGATGATATGATGAATGCACGTAGTAAGCTGTACCCTAAAAGTCAAAAAATAAACAATAAGAAGGAAGAAATGCTACCTAGATAAAATTTTATTAACTAAAAAACCCCCACAACTTTTTGTCTGTTTAGACAAAAATTAGTTACTGAGCAAAAACTTAACAGTTCCTACTATTTCAAAGATCAAAAGACTATGATATAAATTACATGACAACATTCTATAGTTTTCTTTACCTCCTTTCATCTGATCACGTGTTTCAAGTTTTACATGAAGTTTAAGTTATTGATCTTATAAATATAAAATTTAATCGCAATACAAAAATAAAACAAATTCTCCTGTAATAACATTTGTTAAAGTTTTCTGAAATGACTCCCCTACCTTCTTCCCCCTGCCAAAACCCCACAAATTATATACCTGCAAAAATGGATAAGCTTTAAAAAATACAAATGTATGTATATGTATATATAGATAGATAGGTAGATAGATAGATAAATACCTGATGAGCTCAGGAGAGTGGATAATGGCCTCTACAATATTTTCTCGAATACAATGTCGATCTTCTTCTGGAATAGTATAAGGGGATATATCCCGTGGTGCTGTCTCGCGATCTGGCCAATACTGCGTTATCATATTCTTCAAATAGATAACACCTAAAATATAGATTAATTTTTTAAAATGATTTGAGCCCTAGCCGGTTTGGCTCAGTGGATAGAACACTGCAGACCGAAGGGTCCCGTGTTCGATTCCGGTCAAGGGCATGTACCTGGTTGCAGGCTCCTCCCCGGCCCAGGACCTGGTCAGGGTTTGTGCAAGAGGCAACCAATAGATGTATTTCTCTCACATTGATGTTTCTCTCTGTCTTTCCCACTCTCTTCCACTCTCTCTAAAAATTCAATGGAAATCCTTAGGTGAGGATTAACAACAACAACAAAATAATAAAAATTATTAGAGAGAGAGAGAGAGAGAGAGAGAGAGAGAGAGAGAGAGAGAGAGAAGAGAAAAACAATGATTTCTTTTCCCACTTATCTGTGCATTCACTGGTTAATTCTTGTATGTTCCCTGGTCAGGGACTGAACCCACAATCTTGGTGTATCAGGACAATGTTCTAATCAACCGAGTTATCTAGCCAGGGGTAGAGATTAATTTGACAAAGGAGTATTTACTATGAAAGCACTGAGAATATCCCTTATAAATGTCCACACTTCCATTTTTTTCTTTCAGACCAACCATTGTTGTAACACTATCCTTTCAAAAATAAAACACATTTATTTTAAAAGTTGATAATAAACACAAATTTAATAATTAGCTACAGTAGTCATCTATGTTTTTATCAAACAAAGACTAAGATAACTTTGCAAGTAAACACAATATAAATTAAACTGTTAAGACCTTTTACATCACATTTATTCATAACAATTTTTATCCTAATTTCTGTAGGAAAGCTATTTAGATTAATTTTAACAAATTAGTTTGATAATTGAAGTCTCTAAAGATAAAACCACCTATACACACCAATAGCGCTTCTACAACTAGTATCACTGCTACAGAGTTAATGTTTGTGGCCCCCAAAATTCAGATTGAAATCCTAATCCCCAATGTGATGCCATTAAGGTCTTTGGTCCCCTGGACCTGCTGGAGTTGGACCCCAGCACTTTGGTACATGACTGGGGGCTCTGTCCTCATGAATGAGATTAATGCTCTTAATAATAGAGACCCTAGAGAACTTGCTCCCCTCTCCTACTATCTGAGGTTCTATGAACCAGAAAGTGGATCCTCAGCAGACACCAAATATGCCAGTGCCTTAATCTTCGGACTTCTCAGCCTGCAGAACTGTGAGAAAGAAATTTCCATTTATAAGCCACCCTGTGTATGGTATTCTGTTACAGCAGCCCAACTAAGACACACACAAAGGTTATTTTTATCATAGAAAAATTATAGTATGTAAAGAATCTTAGTCTACAAATCTAAGCACTTCAATCACACACCACAATCACACTGCTTCAAATTCATGTTACTTTTATGGGAGAATTTGCTGTGTTCAAAATTACATATTATTTCTGTCAGCTAGCAAACTGCTATAATGTTCATTGCTAATTAACTTGAATAAACTAGACCGCTAACAATGCTTTTTATCCAGCACTCTTTTTATCCCCCCCCCCCCCCGAAATGAAGGGAGTAGAGTGGATGAACAGGGAGAAGGAACCCTCAATCACAAATGTATAGGAAAAGGAAATTAAAATACACGTTATAATATTTTTAAAAAGTTTAAGAATACATATTAAAATACCCTTCAACAAAAGTTATAAGGTAAAATACATCTACAGTAAACACTGACTCAGTATTTGGTACTGATATATTTCAGATTAATACTACTACTAGAATTTTGATTCTTTAGCTCCAAAACAGAACACAGACCAAAATAAGAGTTTGATACAATATTTCCTTCTACTGTTATGCACAAAGGAATGGGGTATAGATACTTATTTGTAAAACGTGTTGATTTGGTATATTAAAAGTTGACTGGTCCAACAAGTGAGAACTGCACTGCAAAAAATCTCATGATTCAGTCCACTCCAGCGGTTCTCAACCTGTGGGTTGCGACCCTTTTGGCGGTCGAACGACCCTTTCATAGGGGTCGCCTAAGACCATCCTGCATATCAGATATTTACATTAAGATTCATAACAGTAGCAATGAAAATAATTTTATGGTTGGGTCACAACATGAGGAACTGTATTTAAAGGGTCAGAAGGTTGAGAACCACTGGGCTACTCCATCCAGAATGTAAGAACTACACTACAACTATAAAGACAGAATCTTTCAAAGTCTAGTAGATGAAACTACAAAGTACCACACACTACAGAGTATTATTCAATTATTACAATGATGTAACTTTTAAAAGAATGCCTATGAACAATCCAATAAAAATGGGCAAAGGACCTAAATAGACACTTTTCGAAAGAGGACATACAAAAGGCCAACACATATGAAAACGAGCTCAAAGTCACTCATCACCCAAGAGATGCAAATCAAAACAACAATGAAGTACCATCTCACACCTGTCAGAATGGCTATCATCAACAAATCAACAAACGACAAGTGCTGGGGAGGATGCGGAGAAAAAGGAACACTCATGCACTGCTGGTGGGAATGCAGACTGGTGCAGCCACTATGGAAGACAGTATGGAGTTTCCTCAAACGGTTAAAAATGGAACTCCCATTTGACCCTGTGATCCCACTTCTAGGAATATATCCCAAGAAAACAGAAACACCAATCAGAAAGGATATATGCACCCCTCTGATCATAGCAGCACAATTTACAATAGCTAAGATCTGGAAACAGCCTAAGTGCCCATCAGCAGATGAATGGATTAAAAAAACTGTGGAAGATCGACACAATGGAATACTACACTGCTATAAAAAAAGAAGGAACTTTTACCATTTGCGACAGCATGGATGGAACTGGAGAGCATTATGCTAAGCGAAATAAGCCAGTCTAAGATAAATATCACATGATCTTATGCATATGTGGGATATAATGATCAACATAAACTGATGAACAAAAATAGATCCAGAGACAAGGGGCAAGGGAGGGGGGGCGTTTAGAGATCAACCAAAGGACTTGCACACATGCATGTTAGCATAACCAATGGACACAGACACTGGGGGCTTGCCCTCGGGGGTGGGAGTGGCTGGGGAGGGTCAATTGGGGAAAAATGAGACATATGTAATACTTTAAACAAACAAAAACAACAACAACAAAGAATGATTATGTATTTTACCGATTCCATAGTTTTGTTGCTTCTGTTTTTGTAATACTAAACAAAAACCTTCCTAGTAACATTTAATTTTATTCTACAGATACCCTGGACTACCAGAAAGACAAGTGAATCCTAGAGCAAATTAAGCCTGAAACATCACTGGAGACAAAAATGACAAAACTGAAGCTGTTCTACTTTTGGCACATCATAAGAAGGCATGGTTCACTGGAAAAGATAATAATGCTGGGAAAAATATGAGGCACCAAGAAAAAAGGAAGAATAAATATGAGATGGATTGATTCCATAAAAGAAGCCATAGGCACAATTCTATATGAACTGTGCAAGGGCTGTTGAGGATGGGATATTGTGTACCTCCCTTGTTCATAGGGTGACCAGGAATCAAAGCCACATAACACACACTAACACAATGAAGTCTCTAATATGTGTTAAGATCCCCCTAAATGCCAAACACTTCCAACATATTAATAAAAACTGAGATTTAAAGAAAAAGATTCTTATATAAAAAAATAACCAAATGGGAAAAATGTCAACTTTGTTAGCAAAACAAAGAAATGACAGTTAAAATAATCAAAGCAACATTTTTCTATTTAATTAGAAATTTATAAAAAGATTCACTGGCCCAGCTGGTGTTGCTCAATGGTTGAGCATCAACCTATGAACCAGGAGGTTTCTGGTTCGATTCCTGGTCAGGACACATGCCCAGGTTGCAGGTTGGATCCCCAGTGGAGAGGTGTGCAGGAGGCAGCCAATCAATGATTCTCTGCCATAACTGATATTTCTATCACTCTCTTTCTCTCTGAAATCAATAAAAAATATTAAAAAAAAAAAAGATTCATTGCTGATCAGGACCCAGTTAATTACTATATTTTCTAGGTACAAAAAAGGTTCCATTGCCCTAGCTGGTTTGGCTCAGTGAATAGAGCGTCGGCCTGCAGACTGAAGGGCCGCAGGTTCGATTCCAGTCAAGGGCACATACCAGGGTTGCAGGTTCGATCTCCAGTAGGGGGCATGCAGGAAGCAGCCAAGCAATGATTCTCTCTCATCACTGATGTTTCTATTTCTCTCTCCCCCTCCCCCTTCCTCTCTGAAATCAATAAAAATATATTTTAAAAAAGGTTCCATTATTGTGTAACTTATATACCAACTTATTTTTTTTTAACCATAAAGCAATTACATTATATTCATTCATTTATTTACTGAGTATCCTCAATGTGTCAGGCAATATTTTAGGCACTGGAAATTCATCTGTTAATGAACAGACCTGAGATCAAATCCTATAAATTGAGAAATAGTTTACTGCATATAGCACATTACGGTGAATACAACTTTTAAGACTAACATTATGTAAGAAAAGGCAAATGCTTACTATACACTTAAAGCAGGGGTGTGGGATGTCTGGCCATCGAGCCATAAAAGGCCGAGAAATCATTTGGTCTGGCCCTGTCAAGGCATTAGGGGTGAGTTAATTAAATTTTTGACCAAATATAGCAGGCTAATTTTTAAGTTGGTAATTCTGTATAGCCTGTATGAATGATGTTATAAATATCTAAACATCCCTTGGCAGAAAAAAGGTTTCCCACCCCTGCACTAAAGAAAGAAAAAAAGCACCCTTTTTTTTAAAAAAACCACAATTGGTGTAATGGAAAAACGGTAAGAAATAACACCAGAATATAAATTATAAATTGTTTTTCTAGAATGACAAAATTATTGGTATTTTATATTTCCTATGACATTTATATATCTGCAAGTAAATAAAACATGAACATACAAATCCATTATTTTGCAGACTAACAGATAATATCAGAAGTAGTGTGCCACATTTTCAGACTTTGATACTGAAGGAATTGCTCAATATCTCGCTAAAATCTGAGCTAAGAAATAGTACTTTTTTAAATGTTGTAATAAACAGTAAAAGCAAGTAGCTGTAAGGTACAATCACATAAACAAAGACTCTTTTTGTGTTGTTGTTAATCCTCACCTGAGGATATTTTCTCCATTGGTGTTTTTAGAGAGACTGGGAGAGGGGAGACAGAGAAATATCAATATGAGAGAGACACATCAATTGGTTGGGGATGGAGCCTGCAAACAAGGTGCCCTTAACCAGAATCGAACCAGGGTTCCTTTAGTCCACAGGCTGATGCTCTATCCACTGAGCCAAACCAGCTAAGGCAGCAAATAGTCTTTTAATAAACCCCATCCATTTCTCTTTCCCACTTCTCTTTTAATGCAATGAAATACTACATTCCTTTAAATTAAACTCTGCCACCAAATATCAAAGCACCTGCTGTTTGTAGTAAACACATAAGGGTAAACCAATTTTCAGGGAAGAAAATCACTGATGGGCCATCCAGGACATTTCTGCTATTCAACTGTAAACCTTTTAAACAAGATATTTACATACACTCAAGAAAATAATTCAGGAAACTTGCCTGCTTGTCTCACAGGTAAATCCAGTTGTTCTGACATAGTAATCTGAAGCAGTGTCGAAACAAAATTCAGAGACTTGTGTGCCTATAAACAAAAACATACATTTTAAATTTCAGCAAACAAATATTCTCAGTACTCTATCCCACTGTTTGGCTGTCACAAAAGGCTCTCTGTAAACTGGTTCCAGTGTTATTTTCTGCCACTCACCTATAATAACTCAAAAAAAAAATTAACATCCTAACTCCTAAAACATTTGAGGTGTTTGCATTTGCCTGCATTCTACTGCATTTCCCATTTACCCCAGTTAGCATTCTTAGCCTACACTGGTGTCAGCAGCTCAAAATCAATATCCTCTATGACACCTATTTCCCCAATTCAGTAATAATTTCTCCATAGAAACGTTGTTATGTTCAGCTTGTAAAAATCAATCAACAGTATCCTAATGATCACTTTTCTATATGCATGTTATATTTCAATAGAAAAATTAAAAAACATTTTGAACATTCAATAAAAGTAGAATACAAACTATGACAATAATTTAATAAATATTTTATAAGCATATGCATTGCAACATATATAGGAAACAAAATACATCGAGATGTTAATTATCTCTGGGATAGTGGGATTATAGAGGGGCTATTCTTTTTAAAAAAAACACGTTTTTATTGATTTCAGAGAGAGAAACTGGGAGTTAGAAACATCAATGATGAGAGAGAATCACTGATTGGCTGTCTTCTGCATGGCCCCCACTGGGGATCAAGCCCAAAAACTCAGGCGTGTGCCCTGACCAGGAATTGAATCAGGACCTCCTGGTTCATGGGCTGATGCTCAACCACTGAGCCACAAACAGCCGAGCAAGGAGCTATTTTTGATATATTTTGTTTTCCAAATCTTATACTGGGAACCTGGGTCACTTTCATTAACAGTACAAAAAAGTTACTTTATGATTCCTAAATCTGTCATATTTGCTCCCAACTTTTAAAAAAAGAACTTAACCTTCAAGTTAAATCCCTTCTTGTATGTATTGTTTCACTCCCTCTCCCAGATTTAACTACCACGTAGAAGTTCATCTCCTCCTTCCAACCCATGGTTTAGTATTCTTCTGCACACGTTTACATGAAGTGATTTTTTAAAAAATATATTTTATTGACTCTTTACAGAGCAGAAGGGAGAGGGATAGGGAGCCAGAAACATCGATGAGAGAGAAACATCAATCAGCTGCCTCCTGCACCCCCCCCCCAACCCCCCGCATGTGCCTGCAACTCAGGTACATGCCATTGACCAGAATCGAACCTGGGACCCTTCAGTCCGCAGGCCGACGCTCTATCCACTGAGCCAAACCGGTCAGGGCATGAACAGTAATTTTTATTTGTTTCCTCCTTCATCCTTATCTCCCACAAATATTCTTCAAAACAAAATGTTCTTTTCGATATAAAAAATTTCTTCCACATTAGAACACAGAATGATACTTTATTCAGTCACTCCAAAATTTATTTTTATTTTTTAAATATTTTTATTGATTTCAGAGATGAAGGGAGAGGGAGAGATAGAAATATTAATGATAAGAGAGCATCATTGATCGGCTGCCTCCTGCATGCCCCACAATGGGGATTGAGCCAGCAATCTGGGCATGTGCTCTGACCAGGAATCGAACCGTGACCTTCTGGTTCACAGGTCGACACTCAACCACTGAGCCACGCTGGTCGGGCCAAAATTTATTTATGTAGGTGTTATTGGTGCAAGACACAATTGCCAGGAGCTGTAAATATAGGTTTGAACAGAACAAATGAGGCTCCGTGACCTCATGGAAATTTAAGAGTTTAATGAAGAAAAACAAAGTAAACAGGTAATTGCAGTAAAGTACAATGAAGAAGTTGAGGAATAATGGAAGAATCAAAAGGAGATTCTCCTAATTCAGAGAAGTAATGCTTAAATTCAAGAACTGAACAGGAGTAATTAAGTGGATGAAGGTGAGGTATTTGCCCCTTTCAGTGCTCTAAATAGATCTGAACACAGTTAATGACTGTTAGTTTCTTGAAACACCCTTTAATCTATGCAATTCATACACCACTTTTCCTGTCCCTTTCTCAGACGCTTTTGCTAGTTTCTCATTCTATTTAATATATAAATGCTAGAACTTGGTGCCAGGACTCAGTCATAGGAAGTCTTTTCCACTCCTAGGCAATTTCATCCAACCCATCTTTAAACAAAATGTCAAACTATCTTTTCCCCTAAAGCTGTGACTCTTATTTCCTTGCACTATCTCATCACTATCCTCAGTTATTCATGTCTGAAACCTGAATGTCATCTTTAATACTTCCCTCTTCAATGCATCAGGCCCTATCAACCCAATACCCAAAATGCTTATATAATTAATATATCCACTTTCTCCATTCCCATCAACACCAACCTAGTCCTGGCTTTACACCTCCCTCTCCTATTAATTAGAGTTTAAGCTTCAGTGACAGTAGGGACTATACTGTTTGTATGCCCAGTACCTCATGAAGGTTGGCATTTAAAATATATTTTTTAAATTATTATATGAAACAATAAACAAAAAATGCCTTGGAAGCAGTTGTGATCATCCAGAGGCACTGTAGAGTGAAAAAGGGTATTTATATTTAAGGGGTAGACAGATTAGCCCACAAAGGACACTACTATCCATACTATGACTATGGCACTTTTAAGAGACATTGATCCATTGCCTCCCATATGTGCCCCAACCAGGGATTAAACCCACAATCTTTTGGTGTAAGGGACAATGCCACCAACTGAGCCATATGCCCCTCCCCCACGAGTATAAACAATGTAAAAGGAAATGAAAACATCTGGAACATCAGAGCAAGAGTTAATCACTCCAAAAAGAAAAAAAGATTAAGCAAATATATACCAGCAAATTACAAAAGATTTAGTATAAGTGGACAGGGAAGCCCTACCTCAAAACAATATATGCAATACACCAAAGTGCTGATGAGCATGTAAAAAAAAATGGAACTCATAGTGTTGGTAGATGTATAAAACTAGAGGCCCGGTGCACGAAATTTGTGCAAAGGAGGGGGGGGGGTCCCCTCAGCCTGGCCTGCACCCTCTCCAATCTGGGACCCCTTTGGGGATGTCTGACTGCCTCTCACAATCTGGGACCGCTGGCTTCTAACCACTTGCCTGCCTGCCTGGCTGATCACCCCTAACCCTTTTGCCTGCCTGCCTGATAGCCCCTAACTGCTCTCCTGCTGGCCTAACTGCCTCTGCCTCGCCCCGCACCTGGGACCCAGGATTCCCTCCCTCTGGCCCGCTGCAGCCGCAGGGGACCATGGGCAGGAGGCTTCGTCCCAGCCACAGCCACAGCCGCCCAGGACTGCGGGGCAGGTGGCTTGTCCCTATCCCGGGCTGCAGGCACAGTCGCTGGCGCCTGGGACTGCAGGGCGGGAGGCTTGTCCCTCTCCCGGGCCACAGCCTGGCTAGTCCCATTCCTCTCTCCCTAAGGTTGTGTCTGAGCCATTATGGTGTGACGGCCATTTGCATATTAGCTCTTTATTATATAGGACTAGAGGCCCGATGCACAAAGATTCGTGCAATAAAAAGCCTTCCTTCCCCTGGCTGCCAGCACCAGCTTCCCTCCGGTACCTGGGCTGCTTCACTCCAGCTGACACTGTCACCCACCAGAACTCAGGCTGCTTTGCTCCTGCCACTGCCAGGCACTCGGGGCCCAGACTGCTTTGCTCCAGCCTCTGCAGGCATCTGGGACTGGGGCTGCTTCGCTCCGGCCGCTGCCGCCACCCACTGGGGGCGTGCTCTGAGTCGCACTGCAGCCGCTCGGAGCACGCTCCCATCCCTGGTGTGTCTGCTGGGGCTGGGGGTGGCACGCAGTCCCCTCCTGCCCATCTGCGTGTGCAGCTCCTCCTGAGCGGTCGTGATGCAGCCTCCCCCTGAGCCAGTCATGATGCCCAGCTAATTTGCAATATATATATATATATATTAACCATACTGGAAAACTGGCAGTTTCTAACATGCATCTACTTTATAACCAAGCAATTTCAACTTTATGTATCCAAGAGAAATAAGTGCTTATGCCCACAATAATACCTGTCCATTGACAGGTGAATTTATAAACAAACTGTGGCACAATCCATACAAGGAAATACTATACAACTTAAAAAAATAAAACCAACCTACAGAATTAAGCCATACAGTTCTAAAACAAAAAAACATATTATGAAGTCAATCTACCTGGGTACAATGGCATTCTCTTATATGTACATGAAGATCAATGACAGGCAAATCTAATCTATAGCTAACAAAAGTCAGAATAATGGTAACCTAAAGGAGGAAAGGTACTGATTGAGAAGAGTCTAAAGGAAATAGAAATCTCACTCTCTCTCTCTCTCTCTCTCTCTCTCACACACACACATCTTTTTCTTTTCATTTTATTTTTTATTTTAATATTTTATATATATATGTTTATATATATCTTGATCTGGATGGTGGTTATCTAGGTAAAAATTGACAAAGCTGTATATATTTTTGAGCTTTGTACTACATGTAAATTATCCCTCAATTAAAAAAATTTCAACAGAACTGCCTTTGCCTGAACATTCACAGCAGTATTTACACTAATAAAAGAGAAACATGATAATTGGCGTACGACCGCTACCCTTCCCATTGGCTAATCAGCGAGATATGCAAATTAACTGTCAGCCAAGATGGCGGCCGGCAGCCAGGCAGCTGAGAACAGGAGGCTTGGTTGCCCCAGCGATGGAGGAAGCCAAGGTTCCCCGTCTGCAGCTGCGGGGCTCTGAGCTCCTGAAGCAACAACTCCAAAAGATACAATGTTTCAATTATAGAAGCTAAAAGATGGCGGTTAATTTGCATACTCAGGCTCCAAGCAGAGGGAAGCCAAAGAGCCCTGAAGCAGCAGGGCAGAGAGGCCTCAGGACCCTGGGATCAGCGGAGCCAAGAGGCCTCAGGACCCTGGGATCAGCGGAACCGAGAGGCCTCCCCGCCCCGTTATCAGCGGAGCCAAGAGGCCTCAGGACCCTGGGCTCAGTGGAGCCGAGAGGCCTCCCGGCCGGGATCAGCAGAGCCGA